AACAGTGGATGTCCTACCTTGAGAGAGTGAGATATCCTACCTTGACAGTGGGATGTCTTGACTATCACCTTGAAAGTGGGATGTCTTGACAGAGTGAGATATCCTACCTTGAGAGAGTGAGATATCCTACCTTGACAGTGGGATGTCCTACCTTGACAGAGTGAGATATCCTACCTTGACAGTGGGATGTCCTACCTTGACAGAGTGAGATATCCTACCTTGACAGTGGGATGTCCTACCTTGACAGAGTGAGATATCCTACCTTGACAGTGGGATGTCCTACCTTGACAGAGTGAGATATCCTACCTTGACAGTGGGATGTCCTACCTTGACAGAGTGAGATATCCTACCTTGACAGTGGGATGTCATTCCCTGAGTGAGATGTCATGCCATAGTGTCTAGCTATAATAAAGTAACGTCATGTATTCATGTCCTTTGAAGGTATTAAAGATACTTCAAGAATAGAGGGTATTGTTTGGTTTACTCATCAGTAGCGAATTATTAGAATATGCTTATAGAAAACCAAGTCAGACACAGTGAAACATTTAGTTTTGCACCTTCAACTTGTATTGTTAGAATATGCTTATAGAAAACCAAGGCAGACATAGTGAAACATTTAGTTTTGCACCTTCAACTTGTATTGTTGTAGACATTATGCTGCCAGAACATGAAAGTTTGAAATTGACAAATGTTGGACTCTGGGACTCAACTGACAATTGATATGACTTCATTTCTTAAATAGCAGGATCATTTGACATCCAGAGTGATGGGTCAAAATAATTCAGATGGGTCATCATTTGTGTATTTCTGACCACTGAATTAGTTATGATCACATAAGAAAATGTACATCTGGAAGCAGATGATGTCATTGATCAACACCCAGGGTCAGTGATGTTGCTGTAGAACTGGGTGGTAACAAAGCATCTATATCTCCAAATTACATGAGAACCAATTAGGGCTACACGTGGCACTCCCCTCAGACCAGAGTGAGGTGTGACAGTTGAGATTGATCTCCCTCCTCCTGATGTGTTGGGTCAGATATGTCTGGGATTGGCAGATTCAGCAGGTGCTTGCAAAGAGGCATACAGCTACAATCTACGCCTGGCATCACACTGCTGCCAATTAGGAGAATCATGGTTTTATGTGGAAAGGGTTATATACCATAGTGATGTTGTCCATTGATAATATGGGTTATATACCATAGTGATGTCCATTGATAATATGGGTTATATACCATAGTGATGTTGTCCAGTGATAATATGGGTTATAAGCTATAGTGATGTTGCCCTTTGATAATGTGGGTTATATACCACAGTGATATTATCCATTGATAATATGGGTTATATATCATAGTGATGTTGTCAACAAGTTTCCATGTTTCTGTACTATAGTGATAATGCCCACAGATAAATGTGGGTGGTATGTCATAGTAAATTTGTCAGGATGTTAACATAGGTTCTGTACTATAGTCATGGTGTCCCATAGTGGTTTGGCCTATGGTTCATTTTGTGTTAAATACCCTGCTGCTGTTGATGACTTAATATTGCTTTTTTTCCTCAGTACACCAACAGTTAGTCCCAGAAATAAAGCTAGTTTAAATAAATATATTTTTACAAAGTAATAAAATGTGTTTGAAATAAACCCAACAACCATTATTATATTACTACAGATGAGGCAGTCTTAGGCTTGTTGTCCCTGGTTTGATATGTCTGTATGTCGTGGTGCTGTTCTAGCAGGAACTGAGTCAATTATTAGGTTGCTTGGATCAAGAGATACCCTTCATGGGGATTTAGTTTGCTTCTGTTTGCTTACTTGTTTGAAATAAAGTTTGAAGTTGAAGATCGTTAAAATGCCCTTTTTGTTCAGAGGTTTTCAAGTTGATTAGGTCATTTGTACAAAAATGTATTAAGATTGCATACTAATTATGCTTAGATTTGGGTTCAGCATAAATGTTCAAATTATTTCAGCCTTTTTTTCAATGACAGATTTTACCATTTACCTTTGACCTAGATCTTAGAGTTTCTCAAAATACAGATTTGCCTTGAAATTGCTGTACTGATAAAGCTGGTATTGTTGAGACTATAGGTTAAATCATTCTAATATTATTTTTCGTTCATAGAATTTACAAAATCAGATACTGTCAAACGCTTTTTATTTCTTTCTGGAAAACCACTACTGTAGGATAGGATTCTAAACACACGTTATATCTGGTCCAGATTTATCTTTACTGATGGCCATGAGGACACTATAGGCTGTTGATGTACAGTACTCACTCACTCACCCACTCACTTGTTCCTATCTGATCAATAAAGTATTCAATAGATCACATCTGTGAGTCGTTGGCCAGGTGAGATGGTCAGGCAGGGTGATAAGGAGTTAGTTAGGTTACAAATCACTAATTAGTGTTGACAGGAGTGTTGTGTTGGCTAGTGGATCAGGTTACGGCGGAAATACAACTACTGATGTTCCCTGCATAGATTCTGGACCTCCAGATAGGAGACTGTTTTCATGGCAACTAATTATGAATCTGGACATAACTTTCTGCTTCATTTGTTCCAGATCAAAAAAGAAAACAAATATTGATTCTTACTTCCCCCCTTCCCGAACATAGTTGTACTATCTGAATAATGTTGAGAAACAGGTACATTCATTACATTCTCAAACTGACATACAATGAAAGATATAACATACACCTGCAGTGGATGTTAACTGCCACTCGCTCTCTGTCTCTCTCTCTCACTCACTCACTCACTCTACCTTGCAATAGCACCAGCACCTCTCCCTCAGTATCACAACCATCCAGTCCAATTACAAACATGGTGATCAACACTTCCATATTGATTCTCGCCCAGAAAAAACTCTCTGCCGTGCTTGTCATATTGATTTAAACCCCCACAATGATGTGAACGTGATGGGCCACATGGGTTAATCATGGAAATAGTTTTTTCTTTTTATGATCATAGCAAACACATACCTCTCCCAATACTCATGTGAACTGCTGTTGACACATGTTCAAGTGAATGCACATTTCAAGACATGTAATCGTAAAACTGATTCAGGCATTGATTTGCTTGTCAGACAGTAGTCAGTGGACAGTTTGAAAACCCATGGGTTTCTGTACAGACAGTTCCTTATCAAGAATTTACCATTGCATGCAGTGTCAGATTTACTTCCAGTGAAAGCTGCTGGGTAATCACGACTCAAGTAGACATCTCTATTGCTCTATGGTCTGGTGCATCCATGTTGACATTGCTCAAATATTGTGACCCCCTCCTTTGATATAGCTGTAATACTGTGATGGCCTTCTTATTGAAGTAGACAGAGCAGTAACCCACCACTATCATCCACCACTGACACCAACCACTATAGTCTGTTTGCAGCGAAAACGTACCGGTGAATTGCACTTTAAACAAAAATGTAAATTGAATAAAGTGAAATTAAGATTGCGAATCCTCATAATTCCACCTTGCCAATTGAACATTTTAAATCTTAGATTTTTATTCCACTTAGGAAAAAAGTTGTCTAACAAACGATCATAGTTTCAAATCGCTTATATTGGTTTCTACAACAAACAGACTATACCATCCATCACTGAACCCAACTACTACCATCCACCACTACCATCCACCACTAACACCTGTCCACTACCATCCACCACTGACACCAACCACTATCATCCACCACTAACACCAACCACTATCATCCGACACTACCATCCACCTATAACACCAACCACTACCATCCACCACTAACACCATCCACCACTAACACCAACCACTACCATCCACCACTACCATCCACCTATAACACCAACCACTACCATCCACCACTAACACCATCCACCACTAACACCATCCACCACTGACACCAACCACTACCATCCACCACTGACACCAACCACTATCATTCACCACTGACACCAACCACTACCATCCACCACTAACACCAACCACTACCATCCACCTATAACACGCAACCACTACCATCCACCACTACCATCCACCACTGACACCAACCACTACCATCCACCACTCACACCTACCACTATCATCCACCACTGACACCAACCACTACCATCCACCTATAACACGAAACCACTACCATCCACCACTACCATCCACCACTGACACCAACCACTACCATCCACCACTAACACCAACCACTATCATCCACCACTAACACCAACCACTATCATCCACCACTGACACCAACCACTACCATCCACCACTGACACCAACCACTACCATCCACCACTAACACCAACCACTATCATCCACCACTAACACCAACCACTACCATCCACCTATAACACCAACCCACCCTACTCACCATCCACCACTGACACCAACCACCACTCCACACCAACCACTATCATCCACCACTGACACCAACCACTACCATCCACCACTGACACCAACCAACCCACTGACACCAACCACCATCCACCACTGACACCATCCACCACTGACACCATCCACCACATCCACCACTGACACCAACCACTACCATCCACCACTGACACCAACCACTACCATCCACCACTAACACCAACCACTACCATCCACCACTGACACCAACCACTACCATCCACCACTGACACCAACCACTACCATCCACCACTGACACCAACCACTACCATCCACCACTGACACCAACCACTACCATCCACCACTGACACCAACCACTACCATCCATCCACCACTACCATCCACCACTGACACCAACCTCTACCATCCACCACTGACACCAACCACTATCATCCACCACTGACACCAATCACTACCATCCACCACTGACACCAACCACTCCACCACTACCACACTACCATCCACCACTGACACCACACACACCCATTTTAGAAATGCACAAACATTCCCAGTTTTGGAAATGCACAAACATACTTTATGGAACCAGAAAATACAGGTTGAAAGTAGGAATTATACTTGTTTGCAGTGAGTTATTTATGAGGGTGACGTAACATGCCTGTTGTTGTGTTCCAGGTCGCAAGGAACAAGCCATTGATCTGTATAAGAAGGGCATCATGGAGCTGGAGAAGGGCATCTCAGTTGAGGTCAGCGGACAAGGTAGGCTGGAATCTGATATGTCAGCTGTGTAAGGGTGTAGTGCTATGAAGGTTATACAGCAGAACCTTGTGACATCACAAAGGTTATACAGCAGAACCTTGTGACATCACAAAGGTTATACAGCAGAACCTTGTGACATCACAATGGTTATACAGCAGAACTTCGTGACATCACAAAGGTTATACAGCAGAACCTTGTGACATCACAAAGGTTATACAGAAGAACTTTGTGACATCACGAAGGTTATACAGTAGAACCTTGTGACATCACAAAGGTTATACAGCAGAACCTTGTGACATCACAAAGGTTATACAGTAGAACCTTGTGACATCACAAAGGTTATACAGCAGAACCTCGTGACATCACAAAGGTTATACAGCAGAACCTCGTGACATCACAATGGCTATACAGCAGAACCTTGTGACATCACAATGGTTATACAGCAGAACCTTGTGACATCACAATGGTTATACAGCAGAACCTTGTGACATCACAATGGTTATACAGCAGAACCTTGTGACATCACAATGGTTATACAGCAGAACCTTGTGACATCACAAAGGTTATACAGCAGAACCTTGTGACATCACAAAGGCTATACAGCAGAACCTTGTGACATCACAAAGGTTATACAGCAGAACCTTGTGACATCACAAAGGTTATACAGCAGAACCTTGTGACATCACAAAGGTGATACAGCAGAACCTTGTGACATCACAATGGCTATACAGTAGAACCTCGTGACATCACAATGGCTATACAGTAGAACCTGGTGACATCACAATGGTTATACAGCAGAACCTTGTGACATCACAAAGGTTATACAGCAGAACCTTGTGACATCACAATGGCTATACAGCAGAACCTTTTGATCATCATAAAAGTTATACAGTAGAACCTTGTGACATCACAATGGCTATACACCAGAAGCTTGTGACACCACAATGGCTATACAGCAGAACAGTGTGATATCATAAGTTATACACCAGAACCTTGTGACATCACAATGGCCTTGCCCAAAAAACAACTTTTATGATATCACTATTACTGAACAGCAGAATTGTGAGGTGATATTAATTCTGTATTTTTAGTCTTGAAGAATTCTTGATGCTTACAAACTTCACTTTATTCTTTTATGTACTAAAGATATATGGACATTATAAAGCAGTTTGTGATCAAGTTAATGTTTTTTCAAGGTGAATCGTATGAGAGAGCCCGGCGCCTCAAGGAGAAGATGCTGACCAATATGGTTATGGCCAAGGACAGACTGGATGTTCTCGGTGAGCTCATGTTAGGATGTTCTAGAATTTGTTTTAGAAATCCCTGTCATTGTGCTGTGTTATTATTTTACCTGTAGACTTCATTCCTTTCCACCATATCCTGAGGCCCTCGTAGCTTCTGACCCGTGCACACACACACAACACACAGCCCCTGTCACGCGACAAACACATCGTCTGTGTCAATATGGCTGACCATAATGGGACACAACTGACCCAAGTCAAACTGCCGCAAGTCACTTTGCAGAGTACTGGCCCTTGACGATGCCAGGATCTTCTGAATGATGGTTTGCATCACACATTCATCAAGATGGAAAAATACCGTCTAAAAATTTCACCAAATTAAAAAAAATCAATTTAAGAAGGTCATTATCAAGTGGTAAATGTAAGGTGCCATGAATGTCTTCTGGCTTCCAGTCCAGTTTCTACTGACATACCTGGATGGTGATGTGCATTGTGATGCCACATGTAAATAGTAAATCAAAGTTTTAAGGAAAATATTTTGCTGATGCATATTACAGGGAACAGAACTGTGTGTTTCTTACCTGAAACTATTCCACAGTAATGTTTGTCTACTCCTTTCACATATTCTGAGCACAGTGACACCTTGTATTTAGTTCTAATAATTTTTATTTATTTAATGCAAAAATATACGTAAGTTTTAGGGCCCATCATAATGAGCCTGTTTACAGGATTGACCATGGAAATTGATTATTCAATAAGTTAAGTGATCCTCATAATCTTCATTAAATCATGAAAGCAAATGTTTTTCTGATTGATTATTTCTTGACTTGATGTATGTCTCCTTGCATTATGTGTTAACATCCTGATGTTGATGTTTATTCATCGTCATTACACCATCTGTGTTACTTGTTGTGATTTCTGTTGTACTGCTGGCTTTACATTGCATGCTTATTGTACAGTCCCTTTAATTTGCTTTTTATATTTTGTTCACTCTGCACACAGAGAAAGTCTTACAACACATAAGATTAGACGCCATTGCTGAGGAGAGAGATCACAGAGACAGTAAGGGGAGGCAACCCCCCCAAACACATGTCACTGATAAGAATACAAGAGTTGTGGCCCCTGGCAAGAAGACTCCAGGTACCTGGCTGGTTATGCTTCACATGCTTCACTCTGCCTAACGGTTGATTCGCTTCATTGCAGGATGCAGTAGTTAGATTTCACTTCTCATTCCAGCACTGCATGGCCTACAGCATGTGCAGTATGGGCTCGACTACACCAGGGAATGGTCTTGTGGTGTGAAAGTTTTCAAAGTTTATGTTTTTAATATTGGCATGGATATTATTTGTGTGTAATTTGTTTGTTAATCAAAACAAATTGCCTTTTGGTACTGATGAGTTAGTTAGTTTATGAGAAAATTCAAGGGGGAAATTGTTTCATGTCTGTGCTTTGATCTCTCCTTAGTTGGGACGGAACAGGTCAATGAGACGTGGTCCTTTAGTCAGTTGTTATAACTTGATACTGTAGATGCTTGAATATGTATTATAAGATCAGTCTGCCATTGTGGTACGCATTGCATCATGGGTTAGACATTATGGTACGCATTGTATCATTGGCTAGAAGTTGTGTGCATACTGTGTTATTGGTCAGATATTGTGGTATGTATTTTATCTTTGGTCAAGACATTGTGGTACATTTGCATCATTGGTTAAACATTGTGGTTTGTGTTGTATCACTGGTTTGACATTGTGGTACAAACTATATCATTTGTTAGACATTGTGTTATGCATTTTGTCAGTGGTCAGACATTGTGGTATATATTGTATCTTTGGTCAGACATTGTGGTATTGTGGTGTGTGTTTATGAAATGTATATCATATCATGATATGTGTTGAAGCATGCCTGCCTGTATCATAATTTGTATTAGTGCTTGAAACCTTATTTAGTTTTGTTGATGTTGTCGTCTCACCAGATGAGATATGGTAAATATGTAGTGTAGGTTCAGTGACTTTGTCCCTCAGTTTGTGAATGTTCTCAGTGTGAACATAACAGTGACCCATGTAGTGATTGGTATCATAGTGTTCAGATCACCAGAATAATGTGCTGCGTGTCTCATTCGTTACTTTGTGGGTACCTGTGCCTTTCACATTTTTGTTTCAAATATGGTACTTTATTCATGATGAATACTATTCTAACCAGTGCCTCTTTCATATGTAAACTAAATATGTCTATAATGTAAGTAGGTGATTAATTAGATTAATCTTTGACTCAGTCATGTAACGACCAATATTGAATTCTTGTTTCAAGTGTTGGAGGTGAGCTACAGAGCCTATTAAGTTTGTATGAAGGAAACCAATGTCATTGTTCTGATGTTTAGAGTAATACTTGCCTGTCAATACCGGAGTAATGTAATGCCTTTTTGTGTAGTATTGTCAACCATGTAATAATGAGGAAGATGGACAGTTACATGTCACAGTTGTAGGATGGTGGTCATGATTTCCACTGTCGGCTTCTATACTTGCAGTCACAAGTAAACCTCTGAAGCCAATGAAGATGGCCGTGCACAAGTGCAATACACTGCCTCGCTCCCACAGTGCTACTCGGGAACCATCAGGACCAGGGGCGTCGCCACGGGCAGCCAGGAAAGCTTCCCTCCATCACAGGAATCTGTCACAGGGGGATGTGAGTAGCCCACTCCTGCAGCTGTAACTTAAAAGCCACATAGTGGTTCACTCACTGCAATTTGATGTACAGATATGATAGAACTGGTAAACTTGAGTTATAGTCGTAAACATTCCCTCTGGATTATGGTTGCCTTATTCCTGTGGTTACCACCGACACATACAGAAAAATGGAAATGAAAATATTTACTAGGTCATAGTTCCCTTAGGTGGTATGCTATGCCACATTTCCGAACATGGCTCCTAGAATATCCTACATCCTGTGGGCATAACAACAATACAGTCATTCCCTTTGTAAATATGTTTCAGGATTTAAAGTTACTGATGCTTTAGCTCAAAGTTTATGTTTAAATTGTGCTTTTAAACTTCAACCGTGCCGCCATTTTCATGCTTCGAAATGTGTTTTACTACGTGCGATTTGATTGGTTTGCCACGATTCTTGGCAATAATGGCGTACGATAGGGGTACGAGTCTTCTTGTAGGTCACGGAAAGAGGCGAGTAGTTACGAATGCCCTTACCTACTGCAGAGTTATCTCCCCTTAACCCATGACTTGTTTTTGTTTGATAAGACTGATGCCTGTTGAAAGTGTTAAAGGTCACATGCAACGTAAAACACAACTTTGCAGATTCTGATACCTTTCAGTATGGACTTATCGAAACAAATCGTCAAAAATGCAAATTCAACTTATAAAGTTGAAAAATAACGCGATGAAAAAAACCGCGCGAAATCGGAGTTCAAACGTTTCACTAATTTTCCCCGACTTTTCTGGGGAAACGGGTTTCAACAGCTGGGCTGCGCTTTATAGCACGCGGCGCCAGTGAAGTAGGTTCAAGCGCAGCTTGAAGCGGTTGTCCGTGAATGCTTTCGGTTAAGGCTTTGGTGTGAGCTATTTTTCTAATGTTTTGTTGATATCTCACAGGCGAAGCTTTTATATGTTATGACAGTAAATTAACTGTTTATATAATTTCATTTGTCTATTTCACCACACGCTCTTCTTACCGAAGTCACTTTCTCAGTTCGATACTTAAAAGCAATGCCATTATTTAGCGTTGACAGAATTTCCAACTGTGATATAGATATGTCGCTGTCGCAGACTAAACTCAATGTCTTGTTTTATTGACACCTGTGTGTCTGCCTGCCTGTCTGCTAATGACAATATTCAATACACAGCTGCTATCACTGACCACATGCAATTTGAACTTAACACCAATCAGGCTATACACCATAAACAAAATGCATTGATTTATGGCCCGAGTTCGGTCTCTGTCACATTATGTAATTACACAGACAGGCAGGTGTGATACTTGAACACATGACATGTTATGATGTCTGTTGATTGCAAAATGTTATACAAAAAAAATGAGCATGTATTTACAAAACCCAACATCTCTATATATACACACACAATGAGCCGTGAGGGCATCTGCAAATGAACCAGCCGTTACACTTGAGTGCACACCCACCCGCTCTGACTGGGTTCGGTATCCCGGCTGCTTCGTTTCTTAGGAAGTAAACCGAAGTAGACAATATTGCACTTTTGATTTGCTATTGTACGCTTATAATTTTGTTTATATGTTTTTTCATAACCAGCAATGTATATTATATGTCATGAATAAGTGATAATTGTGTTTTAATTATGTTTGATTTTTTGGTTGCATGTGACCTTTAAACTTATCCCGTGGAGATTCTGGGTTACAAATGGTTCCCAGTAACCTATGCAGGAAGTCCACTATATGTATCAGGTGGTCGGACCAAGTGTGTCATCATATATCATTGCCCACAACATTGTCACTGGATTGTCTGGTCTAGACTTGATTGTTTACAGGCTTCCATCATACAGCTTGAATATTGTTGAGAGCATTGTTACACAATAACAAGCAATCATTCTACACAAGCCAATCCGGGGGCCGTGGGGTAGCCTAGTGGTTAAAGCGTTGGCTCATCATGCCGAAGACCCGGGTTCGAATCCCCACATGGGTACAATGTGTGAAGCCCATTTCTGGTGTCCCCCGCCGTGATGTTGCTGAAATATTGCTAAAAGCGGCGTAAAACCAAACTCAGTCAGTCACAAGCCAATCCGCCCTGTAGAAACCACAGACTAGTAGGGTGATGGAGTGACATGGCAGCCTCACATATTACCCGTATCCTGCAGACCCATCCATGGGTGTTCCGGCTGAATGTGGAGATAAGCAGGGATGTGAGATGGGATGTCAGGCCACTGATCTGTTCTACTGTTTCAGGCTCGTGGTGCTACAAAGGGGAAGAGAGAACTGTCTTTAGCAGGCCTGAAGAACGTCGATAAAAAGCTGGCCAATATGATTCTGAATGAGGTCATCGACCAGGGGCCTACAGTTTCTTTCAATGACATAGGTAAGACCAACTGTGTTGCCCAGGCAGACTGCCTCTGCGGGGATTCCAGGCTACAGCAGGACCCCAACAACCTGTGCTTGTCATAAGATGCGACCGAATGGAATGACGATCACTGGATCGTCTTGTCCAGACTTGATCATTTATCATATACCTTGAATATTGTTTTGTGCAGTGTTAGGCAACAAGAACAACCAATACAACAACAGTTTTTAGAAGACATGTGAGATTGAAAAATGTTTTATGAATATTTTTATGGGTGCTAATACATGATAATAGCTTGTTGATCCTGGCCACGGGCTTGTAGCGCAAAAAAAACTGGCTTCAAGGTATATACTGTCACTGACAGGGTCTTAGCACTTGGAATGGGGTGTTACGATGTCAACACACAAAGTTTGTATCAGGGTGAATTAAGACATGCCTCACAAGAATCGATAGTACTTTGGGAGCTAGCTCTGAAAATAGTGATTTCTTGATTCCAAGCCAATATCCCTGCTCAGAATTGTACCGCAAACTTACCGATTTTCTTGTTTATTTCATAGGATACACAAACGACATGCACCAAAAATGCTGAATTGATGGTACCTGTCGGCATGCTAATCGCCATTCTTCCAGAGACACTTGCCTAACTGTCATTATGAGTTTACATACATCTGTTCATCCCAAACAGGCCTGTGTTGTGCGCATTCACCATTGATGACCTTGGCCTTGACCTGCCCTGCACTACAAGGGCCAGTGATCTGAAGGGAAATATTTTATTTATAGCCAATCAGATCGCTGGCTCTTGTCAGTGTGGGACAGGTCAAGGCCAAGGTCATCAATGACTCAAGGACTCAAATTACAGAAATAAGAAACATGCAGATGTATTGGAGACATTATTGTCTGAAGTGGTTGATACATAGAGGATATTATATGAGTGCCCATGTCATACTATGTTAATGACACGAGTGCCTTAATGTTGATATTTCCGGAGCGAGCGCGAGGGATATACCGATATTTAGGCACGAGTGTCGTGAACATAGTATGACATGGGCACAGATATGATATTCTGTTTATTACCAAAGTCGTCAAATTGAGGAAAATACACCCAAATCTACTTTCAAACAAAGGCTGGCTACCCGTCGTCGCCGCATGTAGAATGCAACATCACAGAAGAAATGTGACGTCATGACATCACGACACCATGACAAATTGATATTTTGCCCTAGGGCATCGTATGAAAAATATAAACCCCGATATTTTCGCCCTCATAGGTAATAAAAATCTGTCTGTTTCAGCTGGTCAGCATATAGCAAAACAAGCCTTACAAGAAATAGTCATTCTTCCTGCTCTCCGCCCAGAGGTAGGTGCAGTGTTTCATCTTTGGTATGTTTGTAATGTTCAGCCTTGTACACTTGCTGCTGACTCCAGTAGACAATTATAAGTACAAGGACTTAGTGTGACAGTCCGAGCAAGAACTGTCCCATTTTGTCATCATTGCATCCCCAGAGACAGCCAGCCAGTACGGCTGATTATGTGGCAGGATGTTTTAGTTGGAATAATGTTGAGCTTCAGAGTAAGTCTCCCTGTGAACATCCCACAAAAGTTTTTAGATTCTATTTATAACTTACCATTTGTTACTTTGATTTGTGTTTTAGACAGTGATGTTCAGCTTCAGTGTTTTGAGTGAAATGGCATCAATACAGTGCCTGAATACGTATCAGTATTCCATTTGATAACAGTTCATTACCAGTGTCTGCAGCTTCAAGCAGGATGTGCCTGTGGATGTTTAATGGAGGGTGTGTTTGGTTTTCCAGCTGTTTACAGGGTTGAGGGCCCCTGCCAGGGGACTGCTTCTGTTCGGACCCCCTGGCAACGGCAAAACTATGCTGGTAAGTGTGATATATTCAGAGTGTGATCTGCATGTTACAGTCAGTCAACCCATTATTATTCTGAGTCAACTCGCTGGCCCTGTTAAACATACATTATGTGCAAGTAAACCTGGTGCAGCTATAGATCATTATCTAAAATAATAGAGAATGTTTTGATTAACCGTAACATACATTAAGGCAGAGAGATCACTTGATTCTGGTGACTACAGAGGTACAATAAACTCATTCCTAAGTTGACTCTACATCTGGAATCACGGTGGCTGGGTTAGATGGCTGACTTTGTGTGCTGGCGATAGGTGCCTGACTCTTAGAGTTGGGGTTCTTGGACTTTAACCTGTAGCCTCAAGCCAGAGTCCTGTAACAGAAAATTTAGTCTAGTAATCCAGCTAAGAGTGTAATAATAACACTAGAATCTACTGAAAACGATGACAAAGATGCAACTGTGGGCCAGCAGTTTGTTCTTACATTTCAGGTGAGTATATGTATTGTAAGCAAAGTAATTGTTATTGAAATGACCTCATTATCTTGATTGTTTCAGGCCAAAGCTGTTGCAAATGAATCCAATGCTGTGTTTTTCAACATTTCTGCTTCAAGTCTTACTTCCAAATGGGTATATGATTTTCCTGAGATTTGAAAACAAATAACTTTTTGCATTCATTCAGATGTCAGTGTGATCTTTATTTAATTGAGGTACTTTGAAATTACTCTCCTTTGCTAATGCTGATTTGACAGAACTCTGGTCAAGGAGACATCTGTGGTACTTATAACCTGTGAAAGGCATACCAATGTATATTGGGCCATGTACTACAGATCCCCTTTGCCCTGCTTGGAACTATTGGTTGTAGGTTTGAATACCTCCTTCCCTCACTCGAGTGAAATGTATTGACATGTAAGCCAGCATCTCAGACAACCAAAATAATGAAAAGAGTGAAAGAGGACACAAGATATTGTCCAGTTAGAAAAAGACAATACAAATAACACATTCATATAACGTTGGTTGAGAAACATGACTAATTTGCCTCTGATACAGTACCTAATATCTGTTTGTTTGTACAGGTTGGAGAGGGTGAGAAGCTTGTGCGCACATTGTTTGCTGCAGCCCGGGAACTCCAGCCTAGCATTATCTTCATGGGTCAGTGCAGAGAGCTTGTCTTTCATGTGACAAACAGTGTAGGGAGCTTTTCACTGATAAGACAAACATTGCAGGGAGTTTGCCTCAGATAAGGCAAACAATGCAGGGAGCTTATGCTTGTGGCGAAAAGTGCACAGAGCTTTGTCTCTCATGTGGCAACAGTGTAGGGAGCTTGACTCATACATTACTAAACAGTGAAGGAGTGTGTCTCCCATATATAAATAATAGTATTGAGAATATTGTAATATCAAAACTGAAATTTGAGGAAAAGAATTACGTTTTGCTGGTTCTCATATTCTCTGTATTTCTGCTGTAGAACATAGTAAGCTATACAGTTCTGATTCTCTTGACATTTATATGAGAAACCCAGCATTATAACAAATAATGTCCTGTAAGACTAGATAAACAAACTAGGTTATAATATAATTTGAAAATGTCTTCTAGCCCAGCAGTGTTACAGATAATGTCATGTAAAACTAGATCAATAAACTAAGCTCAGACAGGCAGACAAACAGTTTATTCAGTATTTGCGACAATACCTCATACTAACCGTCATACAAGACATTAGCTTCCTGAGAACTGTCCTCTTGTTTCTACTCCTCAGTATATATCCCGTGACATGTTTCAGATGAGATCGACTCCTTGTTGTGTGAGAGGAGGGAGGGGGAGAACGATGCCAGTCGCAGACTCAAGACTGAATTCCTGGTCCAGTTTGATGGTGTAAGTTCTAATACTCTGTTCATCTGGCATGTCAGCCTATGTAGAACACTTAATGATGGCTATGTGTAAGTCCTAAGCCCTTGTTCTAATGTCATAGCAGTTTGTGTGTTCACACAGATTGTTCATCGGAAAATGTATAACTGACCTTTGCCAATAAAATTTAAGCCTGGTTTCCAGCAGGAGTTACTTCCCATGGGTGAAGTCAGCTCCTTGTAAGAGAGGAATAAATTGGCTTTTTGGCCTTGAAATTCAGTGCTATATTCAGAACTTAGATTTTGTGTAACAGACAAATTTGGTTCAATCATTAGGAATGCTGGGACCATAGCATATACATGGTGCCAACATAAACGTATAAGTCCAGTTAGACTTATTTTAGCCTCTTTACACATTGAGGACATATTACAGACACTTCCTATCCTGTTATTTCCTCCTGGATTTAAATGGCTGGTAGTAAGGGTCAGTGATTCTGTGTGCAGGTTGCGAGCGGAGCCGAGGAGAAGGTGCTGGTAATGGGAGCAACCAACAGACCTCAGGAACTGGATGACGCTGTGCTCAGGTAAGCCAACAGTCCTAAATACCAAGTTATTTTCAATTAATTCATGTAGCACTTCAAGTTTTTATGTTATCATGTCCTTGTTTTTTACCTTGCAGGCGTTTCCCGAAGCGTGTGTATGTGACAATGCCTGACCTTGACACACGGCGCACGATGTTGAGTCACCTGCTCGTCAAACATGACAATCCTCTCACGTCAAAAGAGCTTGACCATCTGTCCAGGTAGGTAGACGGCCATCTTGTATGTCAGAATCATGTTTACAGCAGTACCAGTGTAGGTGGTGAGAATTGCTAGATCAATATTATCTATTGTACAGAATGATCTATGAAACACGTTCTTGGTAAGGTACAGTAAGACAAGCATCTGTATGTCAAGAGTATGATGCCTGATCTCATAGACTACAGCAGTTGTACCCTCCAGCCTCTGCACTCATGAACTTATAGGTAATCTTCAAGGCATTATTTAGAAGACAGGTGTATTGTTAACTTTCTCTGTGTACAGATTGACAGATGGATACTCTGGAAGTGATCTAACTGCTGTGGCCAAAGATGCAGCTTTAGGGCCAATCAGAGGTTAGTACTACACATATATTCTATAAACGATAATACTTTAAACGATAACGCAAGAAGCATGTAACGTGTATCAGTAAAACTGGGTAGATGTCAAAGTCATAAAGGTACATGATTCATTATGGGAAGGATTTGTGGCATTCAGTGAAAACGTATGTTATATTTGGGATTACACTTATAACATACGTTGCGTTGAACAACTTTCTAAATGGCATTGTGTAATCATTCAGTGAAACGTTTGTTAAAGGGCTGTTTCTGTTTTGCATGTAAACAGCTTTCTAAATAAGGGCGATAGTTCTGTGTGTATCCAACTTCTTTATTGTTGCCACTGTAATTATTGATGCAAGCCTGTGTTGTATTTAACATAATAAGGTAACAAGTTGACTAAGTGCACGGAGCGATGCTCATAACATCAATCACTGGTTCATTTGATTATTTGCAGACCTCATACACCAGTGTGAGACTACAAACACAAAATAAATAAGTGATGCTAGGAATGATTTGTGTTATTTGTAAATTAGTAAATGTGAATTATTAATAGAATGTTGTAATATTTTAAAGATTAAGGTGATATTTTGAAGACAGTAGAATGTATCATATGTGTGACAAAGTGACTGTCTAAAATCTTAAATGTTTTTTCTCTTTTGCAGAGCTGAGCATACATGAAGTGAAAAATTTAGATGCAAATAAGGTAAGTCACAGTAGATATCTCCAGAAAAAGGTTTGATGATAAGATTTTTGAAATAAATTAACAAGAATTATATTCTCTAATGGTGATAAGATATGCTAATATATACCTTTTGTATCTAATAGGTGAGAAATATCCAGTTGTCAGATTTTGGTGATGCCTTGAAGAGAATACGAAGGAGTGTACCACTGGATACCCTGGAGAAGTACGAGATGGAACGGGGAATACGGGGATATTACCACATGATATTGTCACATGACAGCATGGAGCATGTCATTGGCTGATTTGTATGAGCAGAGACCAATGAAAGCAGCATGCAGAGTTTTATGTCCGTGGCAACAGAGTATTTATGGACCCAGAGGTGTTTGAAACAAAATATGTTGTAACCCGAATGATATTTGAATGCATATCTTTACGTCAGTCATTTTCAACTTTCTGTATTTTGTAGTAAAAACTAAAGACAATGCAAATAAGCTGTTACAACAGTTACGTTTTGGAGGAACAAAGACAGTGACAAATGATATATGTGTGTGATACAAATAAGGGTTATGGATGAGACGTATATTACATCGACTGTATACCAACACAAACTTGGGCACTGTGTGGAAGAGTCCAGTGTCCATTAGTGGAGACTTGAGATTTACACTGGAGAGTTTACCCCGGAGACTATTCAGCCTGTCATCTGTTGGCAGATATCAAAAAGCATCAAGAAGCATTCCATATACACTGTGACTGTGTAAAGACAATAATACCAGATGTTATGCTTTGTCAACTCCTTGATTACCATGTCTAACATTTTGATTTGAGTCAAAGATAATTAATATTTCACAAAAGATCTGGAAGGATCAAATAGGACAGCTCCCCTGTGGTTGAATGTAACATTCTAAGTCTTGCTGTGCTGTATGCAGGGAAACTCTGACCAACCACTCCTAAAGTGTTGCAGTATATGAGGACAGGGGTGTGTTGTCATCAGCGTGTTATACACGTCCATACTCTGGTGTTGATGCCACATACAAATATGATGATACCTTCGTCACTGAGATAGCATATTGTGTATCGGGATACTCAGTTCCAAATATACTACCCATCAAAAGTTTAGACTCACTTAAAGCAGAGACCATATCCCGGTATATGGTCTCTGCTTAAAGCACTCACTATATGTTATGCATATATATGTGGTTACATCGAAGATGAATTTCTCCACTAACTTTGGGGAACCAACTGCAAACTTTATGCAGATAAATTGCACGAGGATCATGCATTAAATTGCTAAAAAGCATGTGCAAATTTCGTGCATGTGAACAGCTGTGTTGTGGTGTAAAAATTTGTTAAAAATTCGCCAATTTTCACTCAGTTTCATCATTTTTTTAACCCATGACAATAATCTTTTCAACGTTACGAATTTGTTTTACAATACATCAGTTCATGTGTAAACAGTACCTTTAAACAGTATGGAAAATTTTGCAAAATCTAGTTTAGAAGAGTTGACTTAAATAAGTGGCTACATTTACACTAGTGAGTCTAAACTTTTGATGGCGAGTATACTTGGTGTACTACACACCTAGTCAAGAACTGGTACATTGTGTGTCATGCAATCAGTTGACAGTATGGTATGTTGTGTGTCATGAAATCAGTTGATATGGTACATTGCTTGTTATGAAATCAAGTAAAAATACAATATATATATTGCATATCCTGATATCAGTGGATAATATGATACACTGTGTATCATGCCATCAGCAGATATGATACATTTGTATCTTGAAATTAAGTTGCAATATGGTACATTGCTTATTAGGAAATCAGTTGATAACACGACACCCTGTACCGATATCATACATTTTGTTATTCCAAGAATGATTTGTGTTAATGCTGAATATGATGTCTACATTTTTAAAACCATATTTTGTGTGTGGCACCTCACCACTGGTGTATTTTGTTATGAAACATATTTACACCCATCTGTTCCTCTATATCTCACCTGTTTTAGTCCAAGCTAGGACATACAAGCTGTATCACCATAGCCGCCTATACATTACAAGGTTGTGCTTTAGAACTTGACCTCTTTCTCTATGACTTAAGCTGTATATTACAAGTAGCAATGCTGAATCAGACAGAGGATATTTGATGAGATCACTGATGTGTATCAATCCTAAATGTCCTTTAGTCCTAGTCTGGATCATTGTGCTTTCACGGTAGTTTTCTTAGTCTCTGTTATTGATGCGAGTCTGTAGATCCTCGCTATTCAACCTGGCAGTCCATCCCAGGATGCATATCAATTGTATCAATTGAATTTGTCAGAACCAAACATTGTTAGAATGGGTGTGTGGCTAAGTGTCAACAGCAGGTTCTGTAGGTCCTGCCCGTTGGTGTCAGCACTGTGACGAGGGTTTAAAGGTGGCTGCAAGGCTGCTGCATGTCCGGTAGATGTTACTGGTCTCTTCTCAATCAACCCAGCAATAAATGGCTACAGACAGTGTCCCGAGGCCTTTCTTAGGATATTAACACCTGGGATGGAAATTGTCTCCTGAAGACGAGTCAGTCATGAAAAGTTATGAATAATTTGCCAAATTTGATCTGTATTTGATTCTTGATTGTAAATACCAGTATATGTATTATCCATAACATTACTGATTAATACTGAAACCCAGTTGTGTGTTCTTATTCGTTGCACCAATTTCCGGTACATGTTACATTAAGGTCAAGTGTGTGCAGATGATGTAGGCGACCTTCACCTTCAACCATCAAATTCACTGGGAGGACATGACCTTCACCTTCTTTAAGTGTACTTGACCTTCACCTTCTTGAGGTGTACTTGACCTTCACCTTGAGGTGTACTTGACCTTCACCTTGAGGTGTACATGCCTATTTATGTATATTTCTGATAGTATTATGATTATTATTTGAAGCAATAGGTGTGAGAGAGAATGCACCATTTGTCTTGCAATCTATACACTGGGAAGTCAACATTATTTGTATGTAGGTGTTTTCCTCCATGTCTCTGTCACTTGAGCAGTTCAGGGTCAATGCAGGGAACAGACTTCACACTGTTGGAAGGAAGCACATAGTTTGGAAAGTTATGAAATAATGTCAAAATGTAAAAACGTGAACAGTCAAATATGAAAAGTTGGTTGTACTTCTTGCTGACTAGAAATAAGTACAAAATTTAAAAAGCCAAAATTCTTTACACATATCTATATTAAAAAATACTAAAATTTAAACCGGTTGAAAACTTATAAAACTCCTGCTCACCTACTTTATATTTCCCCACCTCTCAATAATTCGAAGAAATCAAAATCTTTTATTTGAAATTGGAATATTTTGAGTTCCTATTTTGCAACCTGCAGCTTTGAAATAATTAGCCAAAAATTCAGTCAAGCCAAAAATCAAAAGTTTGGCCTTATTATCAGTTGTTGCTGGTATGTTATGCCGTGATTCAGTTGCCACACATGTACACTTGTCTCCCAGTTGGGAACTTGGTAAAGATACAGATCCCCAGGAACCTGTGTTGTTTGTTAGACAAAAGGGATCACGTGATCAGGTTCAGTGACCATGGCCTCTGTACAGATTGATGCTCATGAAGTCCATCACTAGATTGTCTGGTCCAGAGTCGACTGGTGACAGACAGCTGTTATATAGCTGGAATATTGCCAAGTACAGCATTCAGCAACTATTGATCAGTAATTATCGACATCACAGTTTGGATTTCTGTTCTCTGATAACCCTGTGTTATGCTTTGATTTGTAGAGTTGATGCTTCAAGAACGTGGTCCATTACAAATATTCATACCTCATTTATTGTGCATAGGGCGAGGAGATGTTTCTATTCACGAAACTGAAGTATTTGCGCATGATTGTTAATAACTTGTAGGATGTTATCGAAGATTTTAAAAATGTTAACTTCATTTTCAATGTTTGTGAGGTTTTGTGTGTCAAGTGGTGAGTGCTTTCCATTGAAGTAGAATGTGATTTAGGCTGTGTAGATAAAGTATTGTGTTCATAGTTGATGACAAGATGTTTGGTGTTTCTCTTTGGCAGCATGGAACAGGTAATATACTTAATGTGTTCCATTATTGTTAATGGCAGTCTTTATTTAGAGTGGTCTCCCTTTGATATTACTTCTGCGCTACTCCCTTACAACAACCTAACAGTTAAAGAGGGGACTGATGTGCCAATCAAACCACTCATCTAAGTATTTGATGATTTGTATTCTCAGGAAAATAACTGATTTTGAAAACTAAAGATGGTGTGCAAGTATATCCATTTTGCTATCAGAGTTGTAAAAGATAACACCCAAATAAATTGAATATTAACTGTTGTGACAGTAGTTGTAATGGAAGTATTGCTGCTTGACATGGGGAGGGGTCAAGTATTTCCCAGAGATGGTGATAATAGCTGTGTGGAAATATGTTAGCAGGATCAGATGTGTGATCGGACATGTGACACACACCTCAGGACTATTACTGTAGCATCCAGGGGGTGTTATAATGCCCAATTTCAAACAATGAAGTCAGTGCACCCATTAATCTGATGTGTGTCATCCAGCTCATCCTGTGGAAATAACACAATATCCTACTTCCCACCAATACAGTGTGATATGTTGATGTCAATCTGAATTGTGTTGCTTAGCAACAGACATCCCACCAAATATCTGAATTCATAAATTACTTGAACACTTAAAAATTGAAACGGTCAACTATGTGTGAACGCTACTTCAAAATAGTCTCTTAACAGGCTTATGCTAATTCTTAGACAACAGTAGAACCTTTAATGATGCATTATTGCGGGCTGTTTGTAAAAATCACTATTTGCTGCGAGCCCCCTGTGGCCAGCATGGTTTGCCGTACATTCTACATCATCTTAACACCCGGCCCTTCCCGTGTCTGTTGTGTCGGAGACCTGGCGGTGTTGTGTCAGAGACCTGGCACTCATGTCGGTGTTGTGTCGGAGACCTGGCACTCGTCATGTCGGTGTTGTGTCAGAGACCTGGCACTCTTCATGTCGGTGTTGTGTCAGAGACCTGGCACTCGTCATGTCGGTGTTGTGTCAGAGACCTGGCACTCGTCATGTCGGTGTTGTGTCAGAGACCTGGCACTCTTCATGTCGGTGTTGTGTCGGAGACCTGGCACTCGTCATGTCGGTGTTGTGTCTGTGACCTGGCCCTTCCCGTGTTGGTGTTGTGTCGGTGTTGCACTTGTGTCTGTACAGTATCACCAAGTGAGTTTCGTGGTTATCATGTGTGCTTAACGTGTACCTGTGATGTTGAGTGACGGGAGGCTGATGGTGTCATACTGCATGAATAGTATGTGTGTATGTTCGTTTGTATTTATGCATTTTCCATTTTGATCATTTTGTTATAAAGATTTTCAAGGCACCAACTCGGATTTATTCAAATCAAAGTGTGACAAGTGCCCCTGAACCAGTGTATGTCACTACCTGAACAAATTGTGACAATACCTTGACGATACTTGAATTATGTAAATAACAATTACATAAGTAACCATCTTCTGTTGCCATCTCGTGTCCTTCTCAAAAGAAGCAAAAAATTGTGTCTTGTCATTTACCAATAGTCACTTGAAATATTGGGTTTTTTAAACTTCCTGGAGTACTATATAATGGTCAAGTATGAATGTTATATACCACTCATTGCTTGACAGGGATACAACCTCAGACCTGTATGACAATGTCAACATTTGTAAGTTCAGCATGCCAGGCAGTATTAGAAACTGTTCACATGACAACTATTCACAATCCCCCTCAATTCCCACTTGGACATGTCGGATATCCCTATCAAGACTTGAGTAGTGTATATATGAAGACAGGCAGTGAGTTATTTGGCTGGCACTGTTTACTTATTCACACCTGATCTCGGATCCTCCCTGTACAATACGCTGCAGGTTAGACGACAGTTTCTAGTTGGTCACCTTCAGTTGTGGTTTATTAACAATGTCTGTCAGGTAAATGTGACATTGATGGCTTCATGTATTATGTGTTTTAGACAACCAGTATGGACAGGCCACCTTTTTCCATTAACTGCTGCAATTATGTTAAGCTATTAGAGTAGTGATCATTTGTCTGAAAAATAAAAGAAAAATTTACTGATTTGATAGCAACGTTGGGAGTGGACTTAATCTTTGGTTGTATCGGTCAAGCATTTGTTGACAATGTTCAAGATGATGAAAACGTACATTTGGGTAAAAACAAATACTTATTTTGGTTTCTCCATATTTTGCTACAGTGTAATTTAGAATGATTTATACTTCTGATGACTGTATACTGATGTCAACGGTTAATACTTGCAGCAGATTCCATTGTTGCAGGTTAACCTTCTGGCAATACATTGTGCAGGATAACTTATGTATGTACGGTGAACTGGTCTTTCATTTCAGATTTCTGTTGAATTATTTGTATTATGCCTAGAATGTATATTTGATTTGTACATTTTTGTATATTTTTATACCAAATTTGTTTATTTAAATTTGTGATATTTGTATTTAAATTCATTCCAATTGGTTTGTAGGGTGGTGCGCAATGAAATCTTGGTGCTCGTGTTTATTTTAATTTGTGAGACGCACATTCATTGCTGTTTTCATGTCCAACTCTTGTGTGTGGTGCATGTCCATCTTGCAGTGGTTTATTACCGAACAATGAGAATGTTTGGTGTAATTATCATCGTCTTCACCCAGTATCACTTCCAGTCGCCACCAGGTGGCGTGATATTGCCCCAGTCACCACCAGGTGCCATTTTGTTCCCCGTCATCAGCAGGTGGCGTATTTCCTCCAGTCGCCACCAGGTGGCGTGATATTACCCAAGTGACCACCAGGTGCCATTTTGTTGCCCCCTGTCACCACCAGGGGGCGTAATTCTCCCTGTCACCACCAGGTGCTGTGTTCTCATCATTTAGTGCTATTTGAGTTTGATATATATTTTTTTAAGCTCATCCTATTTAAAATACAAGAATTAATATCTCTGCTGAAATAGTTGCTTTTATCAGGATGAGTTGTGAATTAGTTTTGGTTAGACAATCTTTTTACTGTTTCACAGGAATGTATTGAAAAAATATATGGATAATTTACAGAAATAATTATTGAGAACTTGTATTCGTGCATTTTAATCAAAGATACTAGACTCTCATTATTTCCCATTACAGAAATATGGGCTACAAGTGCCCTCTTGAAGTGTAAAACTAAATATATTGTCTGGCTTTATATTAATTTGGACCTTCGTTAGAACATCTCCTTTGCAGTGTGCTGATGGACTAGGTTGAAACACCACTGACGTATTTAGCGATGTGTGGAAGGTGAAATACTTAATCCATCCAGCAGATTTTTGTATTGTTTTTCATGTGCTTGATTTTATATTTTATTTATTCTGCTAAATGTAAGTTGATTTGAGATGACTCTATGAGACCAAACAAGGCATGAGAGTATTTGAAGTACAGCTCCCGGACTGCTATCATGTGCCTTGCTACCTCGTGCCGTGTCGTCCCGTGTTCCATGTGTAGCAGCAGCAAGGCCAACCTTCTTATAGAACTCGGACTCATTATAGACACATTAGCATCAGCACCTGAATCATGGTGGATGTTTCAACTGTTACGGTTAAATATACAAACACTGTCAAATGTTATTGAACCTGACAACTTTTTTCCCCGTCAATTAAAGAAAAACTTTAGTGAGTAGAAAAATACGAATACATGATATCAGTTGTACTTAGAGTGTATCAAATTAAACAAATCAAATCCAGGACCCAAGTGAAATAAAATGGCTGGCCTATTCAGAATAAATGGATTATTCTTGTTAGGACGAGATGTTTATGATGCTTGTAGAGTATATGGCAAATACTTATCAATTTTACAGTAATGTAGATTTCTTCATTTGGCATCTCCACTAGTTTTGTAATGATGTTGTTTGGATGTATTAATTGGCTGAAAGATTCGTTGATTGTATATCGCCCGAACTAGAGACCAGGACCCAGTTCCATGAAGCTGTCTCAGGGCCATTGTAAATGCTGACGTGTAGGAATTACAAACGATAGTTGAGCGTCGTATGACCCTGGCCTAATATGGCCCTGGAAACCTTTCACTGCTGAGTGATATGTGCTTTGTACAGGGTTACAGATATTATCTGTGTTAGACTCAGAATCATTTCTAATTAAGATAAATGGGTAGAAGTATGTCCAATATGCAGAATCCAACCCTGACTAAAGAACCACATAAGGAATGAGTCAAATAAAGGCTACCTAGGTCAAGCACCTTTTAGTGCTGCAGCTCCCGGAGCTGTAGATGAAATCAAGTGTGGACGTTTAATGTGCTTCACATATGAAACTGACTCCATTTTCACTTCTGTTAAATCAAAGTTTCACAAATGTGGAATAAAACAACTAGATTAAGACATTGTCCCTTCCAAGTTCCTACCATTTCACTTACAAATAAAACCTTGCTTTTCACTGATCATTAAAATGATTTTGTAGTTTCGTTTGTATTTCAGTTTCAGCCATTGACACTGATTTTTTAAGGGAAAGCTGTATTTAAATTAGCCAGGTATTTAGATTACAAAGGCTTTAAGACATCCCGAGTGTTCCAAGTATGTCGGAAGCTGTGAAACAGTTTCCATGTATACACATATTCATGTTGGAATAATGTCTCTTTCTGTACTCGGGGGAGGTAGGGATGAGGACAATATTCAATTACTTCTGCTGGGAGTGTAAATATTTCCATCCAGACTTCTACTGGAGACTGGGACCAAACAAGGGGGATAACCAGGTGGAACTACACATATGTTGTTTTCAACATTGAAGAATTCCATTATGTCACATGATGTATAAAGGATGTTATACTTTGTGGATATGTCTACCAGCAGGCCAGATTGTCTTGTGAGCTTTAAGTGGTTTAATTTCATTTATGTGTAGTCCACTGTTTGTCCTGTCCTTCTCTCATCGGAAATACAAGCTTATGAGAGCATGAACTAAATAAAATCTTCACAGAGGAACATTTGTCAGTGTAGTCTGTCTGAAACACCAGGGAGAAGGAGATGTCACTGCAGCGACATACATGGAAGATCTAAAAGATTTGCTTTTGTTGATCTCAACTAAAGACAGACTTGTCCACTGTCTGCTTGTGGACATTTCACGTGACTTTACTGCTCTACCCAGCTACCTGTCTGTATCTAGTAGCAGTGGGGTCTCCAGTCTGTATCTAGTGGAAGGGACATCCCCATTGTATATAGTGGCAGGGATGTCCCTAATCCTATCTAGTGGAAGGGACATCCCCGTTGTATCTAGTGGAAGGGACATCCCCATCGTATCTAGTGGAAGGGTCATCCCCATCGTATCTAGTTGTAGGGATGTCCCCATTGTATCTAGTGGTAAGGACATCCCCCATCGTATCTAGTGGAAGGGACAACCCCGTCATATCTAGTGGCAGGGACACCCCCCCAGAGGGAGGGACAACCCTGTCGTATATAGTGGCAGGGATGTCCCTGTTGTATCTAGTGGTAAGGACATCCCCGTCGTATCTAGTGGCAGGGACATCCCCCAGTGGAGGGACAACCCCGTCATATCTAGTGGCAGGGACATCCCCCAGTGGGAGGGACAACCCTGTCGTATATAGTGGCAGGGATGTCCCTGTTGTATCTAGTGGTAAGGACATCCCCGTCGTATCTAGTGGCAGGGACATCCCCCAGTGGAGGGACAACCCCGTCGTATCTAGTGGCAGGGACATCCCCCAGTGGGAGGGACAACCCTGTCGTGATATAGTGGCAGGGATGTGGAGGGACCCCCGTAGTATCTGTATATAGTGGGAGGGACATCCCTGTAAGTATATAGTGGCAGGGACATCCCCGTCATATCTAGTGGCAGGGACATCCCTGTCGTATCTAGTGGCAGGGATGTCCTCAGTCTGTTTCCAGTAGCATGACTTGACACTTGTGGCAGAGATATATGTTATCACACAGACACCTGTCTTGTATATCAATTTATTACTTCATCACTACAAATGATCAATGTTTTGAAGAAGGTTCCTGTAAAAGCAAACATGATGAGAATTTCAGTCTCCATTTTCACTTTGGTGATAAAACCCCAGAATCTCGGAGATGGTGTAAATGATCTCTACTCTAGGTTAAAAAAATATGACAAGGAAATGTGTTACCATGGTTACAGGAAATATATTGACACTGGTTGCAAGAGGAAACATCTTTTCATGAACCAGAGCTGAAGTATTCACGTTTAGTGACTGTTTCATTTTGAATTAACAAATGCAATCAGAGTAAGAGAAGTTTTTCAGATGTTTTTTCAAGAACCTGCTTTATCAGAGACAATAATAATGCCGGGTAGCATACACACTGACACAGTAACACATAGTCCTACCAGCCACACTGATACATCACCACAGGCTCAACCTTAGGACAAATAAAAACACAGAGCAGCATAGTAATAAAGGAAGGGTACAATAAAATACTTGTATACCCATATCAAAATAAAATTGCTCACAAATACACAAGTTGCTCACAAACACACTTACAACCTCAAAAACGTTTCTTTTGAAATTACAAGATCAATGATTCTTACAATGAAACAAACAACTATCCAAAGTTGATGTTTAACACTTGCAGAGTATTATAAACAGTCTTAGGGGTAATGGTATCTAGTGAAACCGGGCTACAGAATGTTCTGAATATCCAGTGGGAGATATTTAGGTAATGGGTTTCATATTTTCCTATCAAACATTCTAATGTTCTGAAGGTCAACCTTGGGTTTCTTAAATGTTAAGGAAAATTCTAGAAAAAGACTTTTGCATTTGGTCATAAAATAACTAAATGGTTTCCAAACTGCATGATATCCTTAAAGTTTTGAAAATACTAACATTGTTTGAAAATACTAACATTGTTTGGCAACTCCTTTCTGAGATAAAACAATTGTTTATCTTGAAGTAGACACTGAAACAAAACCCATTCTGTCTCCATGAAATATCCCGAGCTTCTTCTGGCCCCCAAACTGAATGGTTGGTTCCTGACATGGAATTGGTATGGTTTGGAGTGAGCTAAGGTTTCACATCACAGCATGTAAGCTTTTCATTGGAAAGAATATCATCCTACACTGGCATACATCCTGGTACAATCAAGGGCCACAACTCTGCATGATGAACTGCCACAACTTACTTCACCGGGCCACCGAAATCTCCAATGGAAACAGACTGGTGCAGTTTCAACAGCCTAAGGGAGGTAACTCTGCAGAATGCCTTAGGCTTTATACATATTTCAAACCAGCAAAAATAAATCTTCATGCAAACAATATTCCCTGGTCTTGGATAATTCAACATGTTTTGGGTAGCCCTGAAGATTTCAAGTTAACCAGGATTCACTGTACACTAATATTACTAGGATGTTGTCTCATGTAGATCAGTGACTTGACTACAACAATGTATTCCTAAACAAACAGGCAGCTGTTGTATACACAGTGGGAATAACCACAACAAGCCCATCTACAAATAATACCACGTGCTTCCCCTAATGCCGACAGACCCAGTTCTTGTTCAACAAAGGAAAGGAAAACATAAAATATATTTACCCTGTTCGAAATTTACCGATACACTATAACATGTTTCAACTAAAAAAAATTCATCCCAGCTTGCATCACCAACAGTCTCAATAATTCACATGATACACATTTTCAACAGCCATTCTACACCTAGCTTACATCGCCAACTAAGTCAACAATTAGCATGATACACACTGTCAGTACAAGACATATCTTCTTGTACAGGAGATGACTAAACTCTTCTTCAAAACCTGGTTACATGTCTTCATATACCACGAAAGCCTGTTAATCCAGATGGTACCAATATTTTTGTGGAGAGTTTAATACATGACAGTTTGCCCCCCTCTGAGTTTCTACGACTTCTGTCCTGCCCCATATTGAAGTGCATGCAGCGTGTTCCTCGGTAAGTCACTGTTTGAAACATGCTCCTGTTCACCCAGCAGTGGATGGGTACCCAGTAGGATGTGATAGTAATGAGACTGATAACCTTCTATCACAGGCAGCTTGATTTGTATACTTCCCTGGAGCTGAGAATGAAATCAAGTGCACACTGATCCACTGAGTCTGGTAGTAATCACATAAAAGTCTCGTGCTCGTCTCTCTGGATCTCAGCATATCATGAATAGATCTCATCCAGGATTCAAACCCACACTATCCGAGTCCGCCACCAAACTGCCACCCACAGTCAGTAATCTTACCCACTCAGCCACCACAGCTTTCGCTGGACTCCGAGTGTGGGTTCGAATCCCGAATGGGACTCCACCTAATGAAGTACTAGAATCTGTACCTTACCGTGACAGTGTAATCCCAAATATAACATATGTCACATCTGATCAGTTTCTAAATGACAACGTTACAACCATGTAATATAATTCCCAGTAACAATGTAAAAGCATTACTGCATCAGTTAATCATAACCTACATATTTTTCCCTTTGATTATAGTTGACATTTTTATAGTAATCCTCCAGAAAGAATATTTCCAAGTGTTTCACTGCACCGCTATTCCCGTGCCACTGATGCCTGTTTGTGATATGACTTATCCCGTGTTTCACTATCATCCCGTGTACAACAGATGACGCTGAATGTCCCTACCGTGACTGAACCAGCAAACTTTCTTCTTTCAGACTGATTCCATTATGAACAGATGTCTAATCACCAGCAATACCTCACAAGACATCGATCGTTCAGTGATTGATACAGTTTGAATACGAGAATGTCACACCAACTGTCATGATGTATTTCCGATAATCCAAAATGAAATATGCCAAATAACAAATATGTTGTAAGACTTGGTTAAATTTCAATTTCCTATAACTGTTATAAAACAAACGTTATAACAGAACAAAACAAAAGTTCTAGCATAATAAAAAGATTTTCATCATCCTTTCAATGGACAAAAGAAAAGAACAGAAACTAATACAGAGGTTTTCTGTGAAACAAGACTAAAGGTTGGTGTGACCTCCATGTGTTGGTAGCAGCAGCAACAACAGTAGCAGCAGCAGCAGCATCGTTGCAACAACCAATACAGATATAACAACCTGGTGTACACTGGTCAATTGGCCATTTCAGAGCTGTCAACCCCTAAAGATGGTTTGGAGTGAGACTGAAAAAAATAAGCCGGGGTCCAGCCGTGGTCATGTCAAGGGCGACGCCCAGGTGGGGGGTCTCTGGGGGGCAAAGCCCCCCACCCACGAAAATGAAGTTTAGTGATTTTCAGGAGCATTTGGAGCCTTCTGGTGGCATTATTTCGACACTAAAAGATGCATGATAATAAATAATAATAAGCTGAATCATTCCCATAAACATCGTTTTAGTACTTCGTTCATTCAGGCGTTCTTTCAATGTTCAACTTTACGCAAAAACGAACGAAAATGCGTATTAATTTTGAAATTATTTTTGGCTAACAGATATGCGTGAGATTATTATTTGTCAATAAAGCGTGAGACTCACGCCAAATGCGTGAGAGTTGACAGGTATGCTATTTCACACAACATAAACTGGCTACATAATCTATGGTAGGTTTTGCCATTATCAAGCCTGTGTGGGCTCCACGTTACGACTCCCACACAGGGGTAGAAACAACATAAACTGGCTACATAATCTATGGTAGGTTTTGCCATTTTCAAGCCTGTGTGGGCTCCACGTTACGACTCCCACACAGGGGTAGAAACAACATAAACTGGCTACATAATCTATGGTAGGTTTGGCCATTATCAAGCCTGTGTGGGCTCCGTTGTTACGACTCCCACACAGGGGTAGAAACAACATAAACTGGCTACATAATCTATGGTAGGTTTGGCCATTTTCAAGCCTGTGTGGGCTCCACGTTACGACTCCCACACAGGGGTAGAAACAACATTAAGCCATTCTGAAAACATGTTCCACATGAACATCTTGCCGTACCCTGGTGTCATGTTATCTAGAGTGGGTGTTCCGGTATTTCATCCTGTCACATGGCCATGATACAGTATTGGAGACCCTCCTCCAGCATCATCGGAAACATACACAAGGTCCAAACATTCAAAATAGTCACAGCTTACAGATTCAGATTCCACAAACAAGTCATGGATTTAGTGCCAGTGGGCTGGTTCATCCATCTTGCCAGCAGAACTAAACACACACACAGAAACAATGGAAACACCATACAGACAAATGGAATAAAAAATCTGACATTATCACAAACAACTAACACGGACGTCAAGACATGGTAAACTCCACACACTGACCTCCTTCTACTGCCCTACAAGGAGTTTACCAGTCAGATGATACATAAAAATAATGATGTCATGAAATAATTACATTGGTCAAGTGAGTAGGTGAATGAATGGGGTTAATAAATGAACTCAGCAACACACAGCAACACCACGTGGCACGTACAAACCGTGGTCAATGAAGCTGGCATAAAACCCATTTACTGAACATGAACAGAGAGTTGTTTCCCTTGAATGAGCTCAGCACTGTCACTGTGGGAGCATTGTGTACTGGATTGTCTAGGGGATACCATGTATCTAGCAGGAGTACCTACACAATATGCTGCTTGGAGACGCGTGGCATTCAGTGTCCCGAGCAACATATATTATCCTTATTGTTATCATGATGTTTACATCATCAGGTGTCTCCACCATGTTATCATGATGTTTACATCATCAGGTGTCTCCACCATGTTATCATGATGTTTACATCATCAGGTGTCTCCACCATGTTATCATGATGTTTACATCATCAGGTGTCTCCACCATGTTATCATGATGTTTACATCATCAGGTGTCTCCACCATGTTATCATGATGTTTACATCATCAGGTGTCTCCACCATGTTATCATGATGTTTACATCATCAGGTGTCTCCACCATGTTATCATGATGTTTACATCATCAGGTGTCTCCACCATGTTATCATGATGTTTACATCATCAGGTATCTCCACCATGTTAACATGATGTTTACATCATCAGGTGTCTCCACCATGTTAACATGATGTTTACATCATCAGGTGTCTCCACCATGTTATCATGATGTTTACATCATCAGGTGTCTCCACCATGTTATCATGATGTTTACATCATCAGGTGTCTCCACCATGTTATCATGATGTTTACATCATCAGGTGTCTCCGCCATGTTATCATGATGTTTACATCATCAGGTGTCTCCACCATGTTAACAAGATGTTTACATCATCAGGTGTCTCCACCATGTTAACAAGATGTTGAACAATCAGCACAGCTGATTGTTTATGACAGAAATATAGGGCTACAATTTCAAAATGCAATGCACAGATGATCATTTAAAGCAAAATGTTAAAAATTGAGCAAGTTCCTCAAATCCTAAAAATGAAAAGCTGATGAGACTAAAAAGATGATCACAAGAAAACTCTCCCAGGCTTACATAACAGACTGTTAGAACACAGGGTGATCTGTAAACCCTCCCAGGCTTACATCACAGACTGTTAGAACACAGGGTCCCTGCAGACTGTGTGGTTACTGAACGTATCTGTAAACCCTTCCAGGCTTACATCACAGACCGTTAGAACACAGGGTCCCTGCAGACTGTGTGGTTACTGAACGTATCTGTAAACCCTTCCAGGCTTACATCACAGACCGTTAGAACACAGGGTCCCTGCAGACTGTGTGGTTACTGAACGTATCTGTAAACCCTCCCAGGCTTACATCACAGACCGTTAGAACACAGGGTCCCTGAAGACTGTGTGGTTACTGAACGTATCTGTAAACCCTTCCAGGCTTACATCACAGACTGTTAGAACACAGGGTCCCTGACAGACTGTGTGGTTACTGAAGACTGTGTGGTTCCTGAAGACTGTGTGGTTACTGAACGTATCTGTAAACCCTTCCAGGCTTACATCACAGACTGTTAGAACACAGGGTCCGGGACAGACAAGGAACCCTCTATGACATATTTTATCAAGTAATTATTTTCTAACTTGCAGCTGTTACCCAAACATAAGCACTGCCAAATTAACCCTCTGACAGGAAGCTGTTTACTGTCTACTCTGTGGATATGATAGCTGCCTGGGTAACCATGGTTACATGCTGATGGTGATGATGCTTTAAGAGGGAACGATGTCAACAGTAACAGTGAGTACTACTGGGGTTTCCGCCATGTCATTATCATGGTCGACCCCTTTTACCAGATGATGTATATTTCTGCACCTGCTCCACCACGAGACTAATGTACCTGCAGGTGCTCTGGACACACTTGTTGGGATTCATGTTATCAGTACTTGCTATTGTGGCCATATTTGGGGTTCATGTAACCTGCAGGTGCTCTGCGAACCACTGTGGTGACATGTAACCTGCAGGTGCTCTGGGGACCACTGTGGTGACATGTAACCTGCAGGTGCTCTGGGGACCACTGTGGTGACATGTAACCTGCAGGTGCTCTGGGGACCACTGTGGTGGCATGTAACCTGCAGGTGCTCTGCGAACCACTGTGGTGACATGTAACCTGCAGGTGCTCTGGGGACCACAATGGCGGTCATGTAACCTGCAGGTGCTCTGGGGACCACTGTGGTGACATGTAACCTGCAGGTGCTCTGGGGACCACTGTGGTGACATGTAACCTGCAGGTGCTCTGCGAACCACTGTGGTGACATGTAACCTGCAGGTGCTCTGCGAACCACTGTGGTGACATGTAACCTGCAGGTGCTCTAGGGACCACAATGGGGGTCATGTAACCTGCAGGTGCTCTGCGAACCACTGTGGTGACATGTAACCTGCAGGTGCTCTAGGGACCACAATGGCGGTCATGTAACATGCAGGTGCTTTGAGGGTCACTTGCCCTACCAAAAGTTGTTACTGCAAGGCAAGATTCTGATAGGGTCACTGTGGAGGTTCACGTGACCTGCAGATGTGATGGAAGCCATTTGGGGGATATATGAGATTAGCAGGCTCTATTAAAGTCAGTGTGTGACTCACTTAAGTCCTCCTGCCCAATCAGTACCACCTGTACTACTGTCAATGTGTATTATTCATTAAGAGGAGAGTGGATGCTGTAATAATAGACTATTTTGGCAAGAAATTATGACTGGAAACATATCTATGATCAGATGATATCAATAAATAGTTTGTGATGTCACAGGAGTCATCCATCTTCCTCGTATTTCTATGTCTGTTTCAAAATGTGGACTTGATGAACGATACTCTGTAGCAGCAGGCTCCAAATAAGGACTTCTGTTGCTGGAAGTGGAGAGTCTTGGTAGTAAACTTTGTGATCTCGTACAGTTTGAATTTGTAGGCTTCTATTCTCTTGAGTTCACTGTACTTCCTGCGAATGTCCATGGGACTACTTTCCGTGAGAGAGTCGAACACCACAATGTCAGCGGTGATTTGATCCACAAGCTAGAGAGACAAGGGAAAGCAGATGTTAAAAGAGACACCTTTCACAGGCAGAACTGTTTCACAAATTTCTCATTTGTTGTCAAATTCAGGAGATAAAGATAACCAATAATCAGACAAATCAAAATATATTTCACATTTTGAAATACTTTTTCTTTTGCATTTATTTCTTAAAACAGTTAAACAGTGAATTTCAAATCTGAATGAATATATTCATTTCATGAGAAAAAACACATAATGATAATAAATAAACATTTAAAGAGGTCATTTACCTCAAATACACCCTCAAAATAATTTGTGCCATATTTTCAGCTTGCTTCTAACTTTGAATATTCTTGAGTAAGACAGTCTACAGAATATTACATCAATCTACAGAAAACCACAGATGACAGCAGGACTTTAACTACACTCCATGGTGGTATGATGTCTCTCGGCAAGACTGACCACCTAATCCCATTAGATAAAGATGCGATGACAATGACCCTTCACCCTTTCCTACCCCCTCATGTCATGTGACATATTGTGTTCAGAACAATTTTGTTCACGGATCGGACTTCATTCACTTTCGAAGAAATAACTGACTTGTAAACATGCTAAACGCCAGTTACTTATTGTGCTGAGTATATGTCTTGACAGTGACCCACCTCAAGAGCTCCCATATCCAGCATGGGTGTGATGATGTCCCAGAAGAGGTGTGGGAGGGAGATGTAGATGATGTTGATGTGCTTGGCATGGAGATGTTTCGACACCAGGTCAGATAAAGACACAATCACCTCGGTCTGGGAGGATGATTTGTCCCGAGGACTGCAAGCACAGTTGTGACAACAACGTGACATGTCAATGATAAGATAACAAAACCAAAAGACCCTAAATAATGCATAAGAACATACAATCAATATCTGAAAGAACTGAAAATTTCAAGAGGAAAAGGGTTTATTTCCCAAACAATAAAATGAACAAATATCAAGAGTGTATATTTTAGATCCTGACCTAATTTGCATATTTTGATAGAATACCTCCCTTGTTTGCAAGGAAGCAAAGCATGCACCTGTCATGCCTGTGGTTAATTGTGAGTGCAGAGATGCCAACCCTAATTTAGCCCAATTAGTATTTTGGCCAAAAACTGATGCAAAAATTAGTATTTTTTGGTCAAAATTAGTATTTACTTTTCCAAAGGGCTTTCATATTAAATAAAATATATATAGATATTCTAAGAGCTTGTTATTAACAGCGTACTCATCCAATCAGTATTAAGTACCCACATACAGCTTGATACTGAATAAAATGTGGTTGAAATTTATTGTGTATGGTACACATGCTATTTGATAATTTGATTTAATTAAAAATTCGTATAGTTTTACTGCTATCGTAGTCACGTATTTTGTGTTGTTTTTTCGTAACGAATACAATAAAATCATATGGGTTGGCATCTCTGTGAGTGTGATTGTTGTCTCTACAAAGGTGTTTTAAGTCTAGCAAAATATGCAAATTTAGTAAAATCTAAATATTTTTATATTTGTATACTTATCCTGCACTACTTACTTCCTGCACTTATTGCTTTACGGCTCGAAAAAGCGTGGCTTGCCAGACGATGTCAAAAGACGTGAGAACTGCAATCACTTCCTGGTCTCGCTGCTTACTCGTCATGACATCGCCACCGAAGGTGACGCCAGCCACCTCAGATTATTGCTTAGAAATCCCACAGATGGCAAAACTAAGCGGGAGGTAGCTGATAGCACAGGGTGGGCTCCTTATCATAAGTAGTGCAGGATAAGTATACAAATATAAAAATATTTAGATTTTACTAAATTTTTAACTAATCCTGCACTACTTACTTCCTGCACTTTATCCGACAGGCTGGAAGGTGGGCGTGTCATCGCCGCTTTACGTAATAGCAGCCAGCTCAATCTGTAATCCCCGCTCCGGGAAGCGTTGATAACAGCGCCTATAACAGAGAGCTTAATTAGCGGTGACGATCAGGTGGCGGTAATTCGCGAAATAAGACAAGCGCCCTTAAATGAAAAGAACCCACTAATTTTAAAGCTGGCTAAGCTTTAAGGAAGGAGCATGCAGCAAAAAGCATGGATAACTCCTTAACTGACATACCTAGTGTTGTTTGTGAAGAAAACAACTCATTCCCCACATGGTGGTCCGTGGGAAGAAACACAAGGCAGGAGGGTCACTTTCTTCGAGGGAATGGCGAAGTTGCTGAGCAACCACCAATGGTCGAAGCTGTGGACATCATTAACGTCCTTGACAGCCATGTCACGCAAGTAATGACTGGCAAACACTGTGTCCGACCGCCAAAAACAACCTTGCATAATGGATGACACAGTGCAATTACTGTGAAGTGCCATAGTCGGCAAGTGCTCAATCTCGCGGGGATGAGAGGACGTAGGAGGGTCCAGCCCAGCCGCTTTATACGCCCTGAAGAATGGTTGTTCTTAACCATAAGGCAATAGTGTTTTGCTGACATCTGACTGCACGCCGGGACAGTGGAAGAAATAACCGTTTTCTTTGTACCACGAACGCCTTTGGTGCGATCAATGTAAGTTTTGAGCGCATCGAATCGGACATAACAGTAATTCCCGCGATCGCCTTCAGAGCCAACAATAGATGATAATGGCGGGATGGAAAACTGGCGATCAGGTTGACCTGGTAGTTGGTTTTAGCGATGAAATCCCAACACAGACCTAAGTGCACAGAACCATGACGACGACGCTCAAACTTGATCCTAGTCACGCCAAGGGCGTGAACCTCACTCACTCTAGCCGCAGTCGCTAATGACAACAGAAATGCCGTCTTCCTGGATAAATCAGCGAGGGAAGCGTTATCAAGAGGTTCATAAGGTGCACCACGGAGATGGTCTAAAACAGTGTTGAGATTCCATGCCGGGCGGATCGAAAGTTCAACTTCTGGTCTTCAAGTCGGAATGAGCGAAGCATGGCCTGTAATTCTGGGATTTTGGAAATCCTTCTGTCAGTGGGAATCGCTAAAACAGAGCTAATTGCCGCCAAATACGTGGCAATGGTGCCTCCCTTCAGACGCCTGGACGCTCGAGATGAAGTAAGAAATCTGCTATGAACTGAGGAGACACAGTCAGCGGATCCTGCTTCTTGGTAACACAAAAACGCTCAAACGACTGCCACTTGTCGCCATACAAATGTCTAGTAGAAGTTCTGTGCGCCGTCGCAATGGCTTTGGCTGCTCTAGCCGAAAAACTCTTAGCACTCAGTGCTTTCTGCAAATGGTCCATGCGTGCAGATTGAATCGGTCTGGAGCCGGATCGCGGAAGACGGCTGTGAGGGTGCACGAACGCTCCTCCACGCGGGTAGAGGGAAGGGATCTCCTACCACTAGACTTTGTAGAACGGGAAACCAGTTCCTGGCTGGCCACCAAAGCGACCAAAATTAGTCGTAAGCAAGTTGTCTCCCTTGACTTTTGCGAGAACTTTGGGTAATAGAACTGGTGGCGGAAGCGCATACTGCGTGAAGTCCCTCCCATGATAGGCTGAGAGCATCCATCGCCCAAGCCGCTGGATCTGGGACTGGGGACACATACACTGGCAGTTGATGGTTTTGGCTGGTGGCAAACAGATCTATGTTTGGAGAACCCAGTGTGTGACTTAAGAGAGTGAAGGCCTCCTTGTGTAGCATTCACTCCGCGGGAGCAACTCTGTCGGGTCTCGAGAGAGCCGCCTGCTAGTATATTGCGGCACCTCGAATATGCCGAACTCTCAACAGAATGTGGAGATCGTCGACCAGTTGAAAGAGCCGAAGGTCTGATCGAGGAGAAGCTGTGAGTGTGTCGACCTTGCCTTCGTGATGTACCCATACGACCGTGGTGTTGTCTGTAGCCACTAGAAGACAAGTTCCTCGTAGTCGATGTGCCCAATGATGAATAGCGAGGATCATGGCCTCCAACTCCAGACTGTTTATATGCCAGTTGATGTGTTGACCCGACCACAGGCCGAGGCTGTCTGGTCGTGTAAGTGGCGCCCCAACCCTGCAGGGAAGCGCCCACGAACAGTTGGCAATCCGGAGGCTGCTCTGTCAAAGAGACTCCTCCTAAGGCGCTCAATGGGCGAAGTCCACCAAAGAAGATAGCGATGAAACTGAGGTGGAAGGCAAAACCGTTGATGAACGTCTGCCCGGCGAATGTATGGTTGAAGAAAACGCTGCAGAGGACGGTTGAAGACGCCCTCTGCTGGTAAGATCCTGCGCCGGCGCCAACAATCCCAGAAGTGACTGCCACTCTCTGAGGGACAGAGGTTGGGAGCGCCGCGTGGAATCAGAGACTGAATCTTGTCCCACCTGTCCAGGGAATCTGAACTAGGTTCTTGTCCGTCTGGAAATGGCCTCCGATGAACGTCAGAGTGTGAGTCGGGACAAACTCCGATTTGTCCAAGTTTACCAGCCACCCTAGTTGGCGCAACAGACGAAAAGGTGAAATCCCGTTGTTGTATAAGAAGTAGACGGTCTAACAGGTGCATAAGGCAATGCGTCCAGGTGCGGTCGAAATTGATGCCCCTCAAATGCAGATACCGGGGAAATAGGAGTTGTGATACGTGTGAACAACCACGGGCCGCTTGAAATTCCATATGGGAGGACAGCCCATTGGAAATGTTGATTGTTGAAAATAAAGCGCAGGTACTTCCTGTCGCTGGGGCGTATTGGAACATGGAGGTATGCATCCTGTAGGTCCAGGCTGATGAGGAAGTCGCTGACGCATACCATAGATTTGAGGTATTCGAGGGGACGTCATTCGAAGTGGGAGGACGTTCCAGGAAAGTCTCGTTGAAATAGGACAGATTGTGAATCATCCTCATTTTCGGACCCTTTCTTTGGCACTAAGAATATTGGAGAATAAAACCCCTGGTGTTATGATGGGATACGGGAGGAGTTCGATGGCTCTTTTCTCCAACAAAATCGCTATGTTCTCCGCTAGGAGGTTGTGTTGAACCTGAGAGTGATTGTGCCGGCCGGGAACATTGTCAGAGGTGGATCGGAGAGGAGGGGAGCGAAACCCCTGCCTCAATATATCGGTGACGTATGGATCCTCTAGGATGTACCAATTTTCCCAAAAGATCCCTATTCTCCCACCTACCGTAGGATAAACTGGGGCGACTGGAGGTGGAGTGTCCAGTCGCGGCGTGTCCCTCACTTCACTTGCCCCTACGCCCGTCGCCCTGGGCGGAGCACGGGACACGTTGATATCCACCCCTGTCTGATCTAGGCTTGGCACCACGCCCCTGCCACGAGGCGCGCTGAGTTTCTGTACGCCCGAACAGGCGGTCGCCCGAGGCTGGTAGGTGTTGGATGGCGTGGAGGCAGGGACGTTGTCCCTTTGAAGCGCTTTCAAGGCAGTCTCCCCTTTGGCAAAATCACACACCTGCCGATAAACCTCATGAATGGCATCGTTAAACAGTGACGGCGATGACCAGGGTTGGTGGAATAATTTCGCTGAAATTCAATCCCATGAAGAAAAGGAGAGGAAGCCTTGCCGGCTTAATTGCACGCCGTTGGCAAAGCGCCGACCTAAGGTGTTCACGCGAGGTCAGTGATCACTTTACCTGCCATAGCATCATAGTTGTAAGATGATCCAGTCGATCGGATTTATTTCCTTAAGATCCTGAGTGATGGCATCAATTAAGCTGGCGGCATCAATGCCGATATAGAGGTAGAACATGCAGCAAGCTCTAAGTCCAAAGCCAGCGACCCTTGTATCCTGAACTTTATAGGAGGACACAGAGGAAGAGCCTGTCACCGCGTTTCATTTCCTCATCCACCTTAGTCACTGTCTGGGCAAAGTCCAAGCCATGAATAGGATAGTCATCACTGACGTACTCTAGAAGCTTTAATAGTTGGGTTGAGAGACATCCCGGTGAAATCTTCATCAAGGGTAGAGAATCTCTCTGACGCCTCATGTGCTACATGGTAACATTAAGGAAGAAGAGTCCCAAATAGTAAAAGTGACTTTGCAACATCAGGGGCCTGGTGAAGGGACTGAGGCTATTAAGCGATCAGCAATCAGTCAAACCGCGTGATCAAAGCCAAGGTGATTAGAGCCCGTGTCTTCCTCATAGTCTGGGGCAAAGTCCTCTCAGAGGGACGGTGAGCGAAGCGGCAACGGGAGCGGCTACGTGCAGGCGGCGCCTTAGCAGGAAGGCATGCTACTACGAGGTTCGGCTATGTTCGCCTGCCCGAAGACGCGTGGGACGAAGCGGGAGACGTTAGGCGTAGGCACTGGAGCAGACAAAGTTGACAGGATAGGCACCGATGGAGGAGGCAGAGGCTCAAATCGCCGGAGGTGGCAAAGGTGGCAAAGGCTGGAGGCGCCCGGAGGGGAAAAGCCAATGTAGCTGGTGGCATACACGCATAGGCTGATGTACCGGGCTTTGACCTGATAGTAAAGTCAAGAGAGTGCTGAGCGTGGATACATCAAACTGCTGGTGGCCGTATGGCGTTTGCATCATAGACGCCTGAGGCATTGGAAACCCCGTATGTGTTTGAACGCGATAAGGCTTCTGCCCCGGAACACTGGCTGGGGTGTCTGATACGCGCCAAAACTGCTGGCCCATCGGTCGCTGTGGAGATGACATCGGCAACAGTGGAGGAGGTGAGGGAGTGTCAACTACCGGCGCCAGGCGCCGTCGATCAAAGCGCCCGACGAAGCTGCAAGCACCAAAATAGCTGAAGCAAACGCTGTAACACCCGGCGACATATAAGCGCTTAAGACATAATCTGAATGCTGGTGACAGGCGCACTCGTTGACACAGTTGGACGCCGCCAACACTTGACGTGAAAGGCGTAGTGGTCGTCAAGATCGGGTGTCAAGTAGTAGACATACTCTTCCGCCTCTCTGTTGTCCCAGGCTTCTTAACAACCTGTAGATAAACGGAGAAACTCTTGGGTGATAGCACAGCGCAGCTGGCACATTTATGGCCAGGGGTACATTGAGTAGTACATTTCAAACATCGGGGATGAGGGTCTTTACTTAGACTTCCCACCCGACAATGTATACAACTGGCGCTGTACATAGATCTGCAATGAAGCAGAAAACCCAGTAAACGCACATACAAAGTAATGAATATAACAGAAAAGTTGAGAACAAAAGTCTCAAAATAACTGAAAGTTTACGAGACCATAATACAGGCACAATAAATATACCACTATTATATGGTATAGTATATAAGCCTGACCCAAATGAAACACAACGACGTATCAAATATGGCAAAGTGTTTTAATGGCGAAATGAAAGTGTGATGACGGGACCGTGTATAAACGAATCGACATCACTACACAGAACTACTGAATGACAAAAGAAAGTGAAAGATAATACCTACACTTCTCGTGGTAGAGGTACAAAAACAAAATACACACAAAGTCAGTCTTTATTAATGCTTCAAAAAATATAATCCCGTGAGGATACAAGTTGAGCTGGCAAACAACACGCCTAACGAGGCGCATAAAAGCAATAATCTGAGGTGGCTGACGTCACCTTCCGTGACGACGCGCAGACGAGCAGTAAGCAGCCGAGACCAGGAAGTGATTGCAGTTCTATGTCTTTTGACATCGTCTGGCAAGCCACGCTTTTCGGAGCCGTAAGCAATAAGTGCAGGAAGTAAGTAGTGCAGGATTAGTTAAAAATTAGGTCAGGATCATAAACAATAATTCAAAATATCAAAAAGGTAAAAATATCTTTATATTTTTTACCTGTTTGATCTGACTTTGAAGTCGAAACTGTCGTGCATTTTGATTGGCAAAATAGTGGTGACTGTACATGACTTGAAGCTGGACAGGGAGGAGGGTGGGGCCACTGGCTTGTCACTGTAACAATAACAATATCCACAGTTAAACTATCTGTCCTCCATGAAGATCCGGGTTAGAATTGATCTTCAGTAACCCATGCTTGTCATAAGAGGCTGACTAATGGGATCGGTGGTCAGGCTCGATGACTTGGTTGACACATGTTATATATCCCAATTGCATAAATCGATGCTCATGCTGTTGATCACTGTATTGTCTGGTCCAGACTCGACTATTTACAGACCGCAGCCATATAGCTGGAATATTGCTGAGTGCGGCGTCAAAATAAACTCACTCATTTACTCCATGAACTGGCAATGAAACAGTTACATCCACAGATCTCCATTCTCAATCAATACCGGCGGTGGGGTAGCCTAGTGGTTAAAGCGTTCGCTCGTCATGCTGAAGACCCGGGTTCGATTCCCCACATGGGTACAATGTGTGAAGCCCATTTCTGGTGTCCCCCGCCATGATATTGCTGGAATATTGCTAAAAGCGGCGTAAAACTAAACTCACTCACTCTCTCACTCAATCAATACAACAGGATGTTGACAAAGGTTACACCTTGTTACATCACAAGGGGTCCTGATCAAAACATTGCTAAAAGTTAAAAGTCAGATTCCCTTCAGATTCCAGTACCAAGGAGAAGAACTCAAAGCGCCCAGGACCACCATTCCATCTAACACATGGGCTACAGCATACAACGATCACATAATGACAGTGATTACCCGAAAATGAAAATGTTGCATGGCTTCTGAGATTTCTTCTGAATCATGTCAGCACAGAGAGAAATGCCATTAGTGCCTGTCACCATGAACTCTGAATTGTCATGACAACTGGGCTCCCTGGGTTCAAGGAAGTCCAATATCCGCTTTTCTTCCAGCTCATATGATCCTGAAATGATATTTTCCATTCATCAAATGTTACGATACGTCACATTAACACTATACTAAAAAAGATAAGATCTTCCTACATGCCAACAACAATGTAGAACTAGCATGATGCTGACCTTGCAGCCTAAACTGAGTAACAAATCATGAAATACAGGCTTTAAATAGGTATCAATTCCACTGATACAAAGCCTCTTCAAGTCCCACAATCAAACCCTCTTCAAGTTTCCTACGACCAACCCTCTTCAAGTTTCCTACGACCAACCCTCTTCAAGTTTCCTACGACCAACCTTCTTCAAGTTTCCTACGACCAACCCTCTTCAAGTTTCCTACGACCAACCCTCTTCAAGTTTCCTACGACCAACCCTCTTCAAGTTTCCTACGACCAACCCTCTTCAAGTTTCCTATGACCAACCCTCTTCAAGTTTCCTACGACCAACCCTCTTCAAGTTTCCTACGACCAACCCTCTTCAAGTTTCCTACGACCAACCCTCTTCAAGTTTCCTACGACCAACCCTCTTCAAGTTTCCAACGACCAACCCTCTTCAAGTTTCCAACGACCAACCCTCTTCAGGTCCTATGGCTGACTGACTCACCATCAATGGCTGGGGGGTAAAGTATGAATGTTCTGGGTCCAGGGTTCTTCACCCAGGACATAAAGTAACGACAGGACTCCATCATGGTGACTTGGAGACACAGGTGGTCAGACGCGGACGTGTGGTACAGACGGAACCCAGCCTCGTGGAACAGCACGTACAGGCTGCGATACCAGTTGTACAGGTAGTCATCATCTATCTTATCTGAAATAAAAACACCAGACTCCAGCCACAGAAGACACAACAGCTATCTTCTCTACTAGGGCTGGGATGGATAATTTATACCCGGGATGGGTGGGTAATGATTTGGACCCGGGTACCAGTCTCAATACCCGGACCCGTTAAGATCACATATACTCTAGGGGGGTACAAATATACATAAATCACTAATTGGCATCGTTATAAATGAAACCCTGTCATTAAAACTAATCATTTCGATCTTTAATTGACTTAAATCAACCTTTTTGACAACAGTGCACAATTCTCACCCACTGTGACGCGAAAATTCAACCAATCAGAGCAGGGTAGCGTCTCTGTGACGTCATATGAGGAATAGATATGAGTGCCGATGCAGAATTCATGTACATTTCAGGGGTAAATTATCTTGTTTACAGGTTTGTATAAACCTGAAATCATGACAACTGTGGTGAAAAATGAAAGCTATATGTTCTCACAATCTACTGTCATTTTATTTTGTCTCCTGCTTTGCCTAGTTTCGAGTTAGAACTTGTTTTCATAGACGATTCTGTCAAAATCGCTTGGTGTTGCTAGGCCTTATTTGTTCGAGCCAGATGCTAGTGATAGTGAAAACGATGATCAGCCTCGGCTCATCACGGTTACGGTTAATTTCTTCAACCTAAACAGTGCAACATTAAGAAGGGTAGGATGGCCATCAGATGCAGTTATTTGAAAATATCCCGGTAGTTATTGTCTGATTGTAATAAAATATCAAAACAGTGTGGGCTTTTTCAGGATTTCCAATGCCTGGATGGTATTGATCCCATTTATGTGTATTTTTACCTCGATATTTAATCATGTCATGTAAAAAATATGGCGTTTATTACATATGATATTAAAATTTGACATTTGATTTATTTGAATATGTAAACTAAACAACCCTACTTTGCCATTGCTAGAAGAATCTGAAAATTTACTTAGGTAAATAGGTACATACAGTTTTAGCAAACAGCAAATGCTTATATGTATTTCTTATGCAACAATGAAGTTCTGTAAGTATTCTCAAAACAGTGTCGGCCCATAAGTTTTCACATGCAATACAGCAATTAATACTCCTTGTTGTAACCCGTGTAAGGTGGTATAAACCTACACATGTTATTTGTCATCATTCACTTGATGGTCACTTAATGAATTTATAACAGGTATAATTAGTGGTAACACACTTAGATTATCCCGACAAAGGTTCCCATTTGGCATTTCTTGTGTCTGGAGTAAATATTCAACATTATAAACATCGATCAAAGGATTAACCCGATAACATGCTGATTGATTAATTACTTTTATCTTACACAGCGGAATTGTCAAAGGTAGTGTTTATGTATGTAGATTTACTAATCTATACTGAATACACTCTGCCATGTCGGTGTCTGCGTAAAACAAACGTCCTTCTTTCAAAGGATTAACCGCCAATACATTGATTGCTTGCTAACTAAATTACTTTTTTTAAAGAATGGCAGACATTATGCAATTAGTTGCCAGGTGTGCTATCCTGAAAACCTGAGACGATATATGTATTTCACTTTTCATACATTAGACTGTTAAAAGACACATCACTTGGAACAGCTGCAGATGAATGTCATATCACTTTCGTTTTTGTGGATATTGATGGATACATTCCTCGAGCGAGGTAACAGCCTGACATTGTTCCTATAACTTTAATCTGTTTTAATTTAATATTTGCATTTTGTTTTATTCATTTGTCGTAGCATTCAACAGAATCATTGTTTTCGTCTGCGTGAAGTGTAATGAGACAGACAACATACACTAGAAGCGTGATAGAATTAAGATTCACATTGGCAAACTATAAAATGTCTAGATATTACAGTCCTGTTATAAATTCACTATAAGTATCAGCATATCGTCTGCTGCTTTTATTTAGTTTCAAAATGCATACAAGTATGAGAATAAACTAATTAGGATTATAAGACCAAATATAAAGGCGTACATTGACTAGTATCTACATACTGGTGAGAGGGCGTTAACCCGCGTGAATGTAGCAGAATTAATCGCACAGTAATGTCATACGACCCCTACCTGCGCTTCCGTGGAAGAAATCGTTATGTTACAAGTTGTGTCATGCAAAATCCTTTTGGTCATGATTCAAATACATATGTAATATTGAGTAGAAAGTAGTTTTGATTTTCTAACTTGATCAAAACAAACCATAATCTCATTAATTCTAACAGACTTTAAGCCCATGACTTTCATGATTTTCAAAATGGTGAAGCCTCTGTGTCAGAACATCCGGCCAGTCTGAGGATAAATGCTATTTAGGTTTGTTTTCACCGAATTAAAAATCAAAACTACTTTCTACTGGTAGTAAAATATATATTTGATTGATGGCAAATGGGATTTTGCATGACATAGCTTATAACATAACAATTTCTCGTGGAAGCAAGGTGGGTGTCAATATAATACTACTTACAATTGTTTGATGGGCATTCTAGAAGTTGGTGACTCAAAAATGAAACAACTTTATGGATCACAATTTCTTAACTTCACTTTTAGCTTGATAACAATGTAAGAATCTACATTGAACCGTCGCTCTATGCAAGAAATAAGAAGTTGTCATCCATAAGGTTGTATGTTTCACTACTTACAATATTATTGTTACTTCGACCATAAACCTCGGCTTCGAGGAAGAAATCGTTATGTTACAAGTTGTGTCATGGAAAATCTTTATGGTTATCAATCAAATACATATTTAACTACAACTAGTAAGTAGTTTTGATTCTTTAACTTCCGTGAAGCGATCTGAACACAAGTAAGATATTGTTTCAGGCTTCCGCGAATGCTTTCGCCGCACTCACAAACATAACCCATTGAGCACGAACTGAACTGCGGGTCCTGTGGAAATCTGTGCATGGTGACACCATCGCCCGAACCCTACGAGCAATTGGCGACAATGCAGCGATTCGGCATGTCTTCATTGATGTCGAGAAATCATCAAAATGGCGAGCTTACTACACACTTTCTATACAACTAACTGAAAATCGTTCCTCATATGGCGTCACTGCAGTGCTCTGGCGACAGAGTTACGTAACCTGTCTGTGGTTTCATTGGTGGGCAAGAGTGAAGCAGGTGACTTTTGGCAACTTTTAATGCGCTTCGGTATTAATTAACCACAAGTTTTTAAAGAATAAATTTGGTGTTCCATAAGACTAACCACAAATCTTTCATATGTAATGGTTAAAAGAGTAACAAAAACAAAGTTTATTTGTTCTTTATAATCATGTGACTAATAGATCAAACAATGTAATATCTTATTCTTTTATGATTAAAGGTTGTATTGTTCACATAATTGTTCACCTGTTTTGAATATAGTACATGGTCAAGTTATTGAAAAAAAAATCGAAGTTGTAGCCACCGATCTGAAGAATATATTGCCATTTCTTACAAATTTGATGTCAGGAATTAACATAATGGGTATCCGGGTAGGATAATATGGGATGGGGTACCGGGTAGAAACTCTGGACCCGTCCCAGCCCTATTCTGTACATATTCCCCATTCCAAGGCTGTAAATCATGGCAGTAATGATCCCGGCATTGGTCTCCCCACCTCCACAATTCTAGTCATGACTTCAGCATGTGCAACACCAATTATTGATATTTCTTTTGACTTTGATGCCAACTGTTACTTCCTGTAGTATCACCAAACATTTTCTTTGTGTTAAGGCAAACTGCTAGTTGTTTGAACCTGCCAAGCTCTGATCAGACAAGTTGCATGACACTGAATGTACAGCATTGTAGCGACCATGTTGAATCAGCTGAACAATCACATGGTTATTACAGACATACATATGTTACATTTCACACAGGATTAATGTGTATGTAAGTCAGAGGTAGCACAATGAATGTACCAACTGACTGATTATTGATAACAAGTCTCCACTATACAACACATACTGGGTGTCAGCTGGTCGTGTCAGCTGGTGGAGACAGGACATATCTTACTTATGTATTGGACAGAAATATATTATGACTTCTGCCTTGGCTATTTGATCTCTGGAGATAAGATTTTTAGTTAGATTGCATGACAAGGCACTATCTGAGAAAAACACAAGGCACTGTCTGGGGAGGACAAGGCACTATCTGGGGAGGACAAGGCACTACCTGGGGAGGACAAGGGCACTGTATAGGGAGGACAAGGCACTATCTGGGGAGGACAAGGCACTACCTGGGGAGGACAAGGCACTACCTGGGGAGGACAAGGCACTATCTGGGGAGGGACAAGGGCACTATCTGGGGAGGACAAGGGCACTATCTGGGGAGGACAAGGACACTATCTGGGGAGGACAAGGACACTATCTGGGGAGGACAAGGGCACTATCTGGGGAGGACGAGGGCACTATCTGGGGAGGACAAGGGCACTATCTGGGGAGGACAAGGGCACTATCTGGGGAGGACAAGGACACTATCTGGGGAGGACAAGGACACTATCTGGGGAGGACAGGGACACTATCTGGGGAGGACAAAGGGCACTATCTAGGGGAGGAGGACAAGAGGCACTATCTGGGGAGGACAAAGGCACTATCTGGGGAGGACAAGGGCACTATCTGGGGAGGACAAGGACACTATCTGGGGAGGGCAAGGGCACTATCTGGGGAGGACAAGCACACTATCTGGGGAGGACAAGGACACTATCTGGGAGTGGACAAGGCACTATCTAGGGGGGACAAGGGCACTATCTAGGGAGGACGAGGGCACTATCTGGGGAGGACAAAGGCACTATCTAGGGAGGACGAGGGCACTATCTGGGGAGGACAAGGACACTATCTGGGGGGGAGGACAAGGACACTATCTGGGGAGGACAAGGCACTATCTGGGGAGGACAAGGACACTATCTGGGGAGGACAAGGACACTATCTGGGGAGGACAAGGACACTATCAGGAGTGGACAAGGCACTATCTAGGGGGGACAAGGGCACTATCTAGGGAGGATGAGGGCACTATCTGGGGAGGACAAAGGCACTATCTAGGGAGGACGAGGGCACTATCTGGGGAGGACAAGGACACTATCTGGGGAGGACAAGGCACTATCTGGGGAGGACAAGACACTATCTGGGGAGGACAAGGCACTATCTGGGGAGGACAAGGCACTATCTGGGAAGGACAAAGACACTATCTGGGGAGGATAAAGACACTATCTCGGGGAGTATAAAGACAATAAAAGGCTATCTGGGGAGGACAAGGGCACTATCTGGAGACAAGACAGACAAGGCAATATCTTGGGAGGACAAGCCCCTATCTGGGAGGATAAGGCACTATCTGGGGAGACAAGGCACTATCTGGGGAGGACAGGGGCACTATTTGGGAGAACAAGACACTATCTGGGGAAGACAAGCCGCTATTGGGGAGGACAAGACGTTGGGTTGTGACTACACCCTAATAATCAAGATTCAATTAAGTCAACTCTAAGTCTTTAACTGGTGACCAATTCTACCCTAGAGTGAGTGACGTGGGTTTAGCACATTGAACATTATTGTAGTCATGTCATAACCTTGACATGGGAGGAGAATTACGCAGGTCTCAGACTTTTACCACTTTGATGAAAAACACAAACACAGATAGGGTACTGACAAACCAAACAACATAATTGGGGCAAACTGGCTTCCAACTCCAACCACTGGCTTCCAACTCCAACCACTGGGTGCCAACTCCAACCACCGGCTTCCAACTCCAACCACTGGGTGCCAAGGATGGTGCCTTGGGTGCCACCCTATGATCATCAAATAGCAATTGTATCCAATACAGCCAAACACTATTGTGTCAGACTTCTGGTTGTGTTGAAGTAAAAACTTGGATTCTGCATATTCCATCTTTAGTTGTCATTTTGTGTCGAGCCTTGGAATAACTGGAAATTATTAGTGGCTCCCTTCGACACAACAGTGTATGAAAACTATGACTGTGTAGGCAAGTGTAACGACAACTCATCTGTGACCACTCCAAGACTCACCACGATCACCTAGCTACTGTCCGCTCTACTTACCTATATCGAGAACAATGTGGAGCTGCTGCACGTCCCTGAGAAGGTTATCTTTGACGAGGAAGAACAAGACTTCGTGTGAATCACTAATGTCCAGGTAGGCCTCCAGCTTGAGGATGTCAATGTGGGTGTGGCCTAGTTTCCTGGTTATACTGTTCAGTGTCTGAGTCTCATAGGAGTTGCGACCAAAGTCAGCTGGATCATTTGGAACAATGACTGTCTTGAAGATATGAGTGCCATTTAATTTTCTTAGGACTACGGGAATGGAGTAATGCAAAAATATATACTGTTGAAATGAATAGTTTCTAGACAGAAGGGTCTCAAATGCATAGTCCCACATTGGTCTGAAACAAATAATATATTGTGATTATGACAATGTTATACAGCATCATCTGTTTGTAAATCAATAAACACGACAAAACACAAACATTTTATCAAAATCTTGTCACTCATTTTTGTAACAGTTTGCATGAAGACGGTACGGATTTCACCTTGTGCACACACAGAACTGAGGTGTCCATATTGGGTCTATGTAACAATGAATTACACACTTTGCAGTTCTGAAACATTCTATGCACAATGAATGTGTAGAGTGTGACTCTTTGTCCACTCGGGTGTTATACATTAAACAAAATTTCAGCTATATCATCTTGATGATGGTGGAATATAAATAAAGTATTAACTTGGGAATCAGTGATTCACAGCATCGATCCACCAAGTTTGGTAACAATGGCACGCAATCAAGACACCTGACCACCTGATACATCTAGTTGCTAATTTTTACTAGCATCTGTTGCTAGGGAACTATATTCATTCCCAGAAACCTATGTGTGACATACACAATATTCATGAATCTATAGTTATTTATTCCAGTTAAACAAATGTCCACAAGGAAGGTCCACCAAATAATATCAATGTACCTGGCTGTATATACAAATGTACCAATGGTACTTTTCTGTAAATGGAAATGTACCCAAGGTATCTCACTGTAAATACCAATGTACCCTAGGTATCTCTCTGTATACCAATTACCCAGAGTACCTCTCTGTATATACCAATGTACCCAAGGTACATCTCTGTATGTACCAATGTACCCAAGGTACCTTGTTGTATATACCAATGTACCCAAGGCACATCTCTGTATGTACCAGAGATTAAGCTTAATCGAGTCCTGACTTAAGCAGTATTACTTCTGTCACGCTAGAGCTCATTTCTGTACTTCATTCTGTGTTAACCTACATTAATGTTGGACTGTATATTGGCAAATACATTTTATAGCAATATATTGCAATACTGGAGTCTGTATGGCTATATCTTAGGAGTGAGTTTATTTTTACACCGCTTTTAGCAATATTCCAGCAACATCAAGGTGGGGACACTAGAAATGGGCTTCACACATTGTATCCATGTGGGGAATCGAACCCGGGTCTTCGGCGTGACGAGCGAACGCCGTAACCACTAGGCTACCCCATCGCCCCGCTATATCTTAGGAGCTAATGAGTTTTACATTGAGTGAAACTGACTGTATCTTGAGATCCTATTTTCTACATATTATTCCTAAAAAATATATAATATGATTCTGATAACAGCAATCTCAAAATAAGGTTTGACTGTAAGGAATCTTTTACTTATTTTTGTTACAATTTATGGTATGTGAGGTATGCCATTTTGTCAATTGATTAATTTATAGAGGGAAACACGAGCTGAGAATGAAACATTTGTGTAGACATTAACACGATTAACTTAAACCATGGAGCTATCACAAAACTTATACCCGGTATACTGGTAACCCAATACACTGGTTCTCACAAACTGACTGACTGACTGACTGAGTTTAGTTTTACGCCGCTTTTAGCAATATTCCAGCAATATCACGGCGGGGACACCAAAATGGGCTTAACACATTGTGCCCATGTGGGGAATCGAACCCGGGTCTTCGAGCGGACGAGCCAACGCTTTAACCACTAGGCTACCCCACCGCCCCTGGTTCTCACAAACAATATCAGGGGTGGAAATAACCCATTGCCCGACGCCCGAGTCCAGTGTTTTTTTCTGTCGGGCAAGCAAATTTGTATATCACACTGTACCGGTGTCCATTTGATATTCCAATGTTAGTTATGTTGTTTATTTAAAAAATAAACATGAAAACGGCCGGTATAGTGGAAAAATTATCAGGGCAAGTAATTTTACATGTGCCACTGTACCGGAGTACACTAGCAATTTTAAAGTTATTTCCACCCCTGAATATTGCAATATGCATTATTTGAAAGCATATTGCAGTATACCGATAATACTGAGCAGTAATACCTACATTAACGTGCATCATCATGTTAACAAAATCTATAAAAACATACATACTGAACTATAGAATCAATTCTTATTTCATTTTAGGTTGAACATATCAATTAAATGATCGCTAAACCATCACATAAAACATAGTGACAGCTGACATACTAGCAAGAGGCAATGACATCTGCCAAAACTGGGCCATATACTGTTTCTTCGTATATAATCGACACTGTTGATAGCATTATTACACGAGTGTTTGCTGGTGAGACAGGCGTTTATGTAAAAGCTGACAATCAATTAACTATAAGCAGAAAGGTGATCTAGATAAGACTTATAAAATAGTCTTGAGTAAAGTTTATTATAGACACGACAGAAAATATAATTCTTGACAACTTGAGACCAACATGTGCTCCAACACAGTGTGAACCATGCAGTATGAGGTAACCTGACTACAGCTTCAAGAAAAAAAAAGCAGTTAATACCGTATATACACAAACTTACGACCATGATGGCACTGACTTTTAAGAATAAAACTAAGTAGAAAACATTTAGATCGGAACAAACTATTTCAGGCATTATTATCCAACACGGCTTACCGGGCCATGTCAGATTAACGTGATCCTTGTGTGACAGATTATTTGAAGTGTTGTTTCACATGTTTAATGACACACTCAGTAATTGTCCAACTATATGATGGCAATTAACTACTGGCTTTCCTTGTTATGTGCCAATCTTTGTTACCTTATCACTTTTGTTGTTTCACATGTACATCTTACTTCTTAGCTTTCATTCACCTGATGAAGGAGTAATAACATACTCAGAAACATTGTGTCTCTCATACAATTATATCACAGATGTTGTCATCCTTACATTTCCCCCTGTCAGTGCATCACTTCTAAATGCCATTCAAAGATTTTCTGGCTGCCTGAAGTAATGGAGTCTGAACAAGAGACGGTTACCATGGATACTGCAAGCATTGACCCATGCTGTCGGGCACAGTGACATGCAATCAACCATGACCACAAAGTAACAGGGGTGGAAATAACCCATTGCCCGACGTCCGAGTCCAGTGTTTTTTTCTGTCGGGCAAGCAAATTTGTATATCACACTGTACCGGTGTCCAGTTGACTTTCCAATATTAATTATGTTGTTTATTTTAAAAATCAACAAGAAAACGGCCGGAAAAGTGGAAAAGTTATCAGGGCAAGTGATTTTACATGTGCCACTGTACCGGAGTACACTAGCAATTTTAAAGTTATTTCCACCCCTGAGTAAGTCACTACTGCCGCAGCCATGGTGCACCATAGTACTAAGAATCAGTGTCATAACTTTCTTGAGACTTCATAAAATGATTATAACCTCTGTAAACATGGCAGCATTCACATCAGCTATTTACAATGAGTACTTACCCTATGGAATAAGCTATTTTTGGCAGCGTTGAATCAGTATTTACTCCAACATCTGGTTCCGCACACAACCTCCATGCCGTGCCATTCCCACTGCCTATCGTGGAGTTACACTGATAGTGATAGAGGGTGATAAACTTCAGTAAACGTCTTGCCTCACTCTCTGCATTAGCCAACACCCGTAATGGACTGTAGGCCTGTTGGTAGTAAGTCAACTGCACAATCGTGTACACCAATCCTATCAGGAGGAAGCCAGAGAAGAGAGTCTTCTTCCTCTTGTTCATCGACATTTTGATCACTCGGAGAGGCCAATTTGGCATTTATGGAAGTGTAGTTGCGTCCTTTATAAGCAGCTGTGTGCCCCACCAGCTGTCGCTTCTGAACCAATGGGGTGCCACAGGAAATTACTGAACATCTATTTTTCCTTATTTTGACGATACCATGTTGTTATTTGGGAAGTACGATGATATATTCCGTTAATACTGGCTGTGTCATGAGAAATAACCATCCATCTGAAAAGGAAAGATTAAAGAGTTACAGTGTGAGGATTAAATGTAATGATTAAAGAATTAAAGTGTAATGATTAAATGTAATGATTAAAGAGTTAAAGTGTAATGATTAAATGTAATGATTAAAGAGTTAAAGTGTAATGATTAAATGTAATGATTAAAGAGTTAAAGTGTAATGATTAAATGTAATGATTAAAGAGTTAAAGTGTAATGATTAAATGTAATGATTAAAGAGTTAAAGTGTAATGATTAAATGTAATGATTAAAGAGTTAAAGTGTAATGATTAAATGTAATGATTAAAGAGTTAAAGTGTAATGATTAAATGTAATGATTAAAGAGTTAAAGTGTAATGATTAAATGTAATGATTAAAGAGTTAAAGTGTAATGATTAAATGTAATGATTAAAGAGTTAAAGTGTAATGATTAAATGTAATGATTAAAGAGTTAAAGTGTAATGATTAAATGTAATGATTAAAGAGTTAAAGTGTAATGATTAAATGTAATGATTAAAGAGTTAAAGTGTAATGATTAAATGTAATGATTAAAGAGTTAAAGTGTAATGATTAAATGTAATGATTAAAGAGTTAAAGTGTAATGATTAAATGTAATGATTAAAGAGTTAAAGTGTAATGATTAAATGTAATGATTAAAGAGTTAAAGTGTAATGATTAAATGTAATGATTAAAGAGTTAAAGTGTAATGATTAAATGTAATGATTAAAGAGTTAAAGTGTAATGATTGATGGCTTTATATCACTCTCAGACACATTCCATGCACGGGCTTCACAAAGTGTACCCATGTGGGGAATCCAAGCAAACGCTTATATACAAGGCTATATATCTACAATACTTTCATGACAAGCAAACACTTTAACAGTAAGATTAAACGCAGAATCCAGGAAAACCCTTAATCTGGTTCTTTGATTATCAGGGCTTTTAAGTTTTACGCTTTGCAGTGAAAACATTAAAGAAGTTATACCTGCTTCAACATTATCATTGAAACTCCTGCTTCTAACATGACACCTGAACACATAGTGGTATATCCTGCTGAAATACGCACTAAAACTTGTGTTATATATCATGCTTTTTTAAAAGGATCAGACGAAGCCAGTACCACACCATATTGACACCAGTTTAAATTGCACCAGATTTTCTTTGCAAAAAAAGCACCAAAAATAGTACATGATGTTATTCAGAATATATACATATAAAACAAAGGACTTTCTTTTGTAAATTTACTCAACATAGATTTAATTATTAAACAACATTCAACAAAACCATATCATACCTTTCAACGTGGAAGGGTTTTCTGTGTTACTGACATGACTGTTTACATGCTGAAAATGAATCCACTTATGATGGCATCTTGTACATTGGCATCGCTCATGGCATCTTGTACAACTTACATTTTGACTTCAAATTTGGCTCTAATATTCATCCAGAGGTGGCAGAAATTTGCTTACATTTCCATAATACTTTATTACGTACAAATTGAAATGGTGGTTCCCAATTCTATCCCAATTGTGTGGACATGTTGGAAACTTCCTGACTATTAATTTTTCCGTGCAGGTTCTAAAGGAAAAACTAGCTGTAGACGCAGGTTCATCAGGGCTTTTTCAGTAGTAAACTTGAAATTACTATTAGAATTCATTTTATAATGTTTGACAGACAAAATATTGGAGTAGTAAGTATTTTAGCAAATCACTGTCTTGTATTGATCTGGGAAAAAAGTATTGTGTATGGTGTCATTACATGAAAACTCGATATGCACTGGCCCAGACTGTAAATAACCTTCTCTATTTTGTTGTCTTGACCATGATTGTAGGATAAGTACCCTTTCGACATGTTAGATGCGTACACAATGTAAAACTCTGATTCTACAGTACAGTTGCGGCAATTTGGGCCTAACCTGCAACAAAAGAATCATCAGCCCAAACCATTTAACGTTTTATGCAACCGTGTAATAGATATAGATTACAGCTAATGTAGCAATACTGAAAATTATCCCGCGTACACTTTAGTCGTATTCATGTTATTGAATGCGGCTAACAGACATTCGACTCCCAGCCTGATCTGGGCTATTCTGGGTCTAGCCGATCAACAGACAACACAGTGTAACCCGCACTGATCTAGTTCGGTTTTAGCGCCGTACCTTTGCAACACATCACACTCTTCTGTCTTCTCAAAAGACACAGGTCTTCCTGCTGTATTGTCTCGTCGAGATTTAGAAGAAGCATCTAATTTTCTTCTGATTTACAACTATGACAGGTTCGACATTTTCAACCGGAAGAACTCTTCGCTAGGGGAGACATGAAATAGATTGAAATGCATAAAAGAGGGATCCGGAATGAAATGGAAATGGCACAGCAATGGAAGAAACTGTAATACACCAGCCTGTGAACAAATGTGTAGCAGTGTGGGAGTCGGGGAATGGGTGTCAGGGAAACAAGATTCATCATTCCGATGAATTTGGACGTCAAGCATTTAACATTTTCAGTAAACCATAGATGTATGTATTCATTTTTGACAAATTGTCCCGATGAAGACATATGGTTAAAGAATACATTTAAACAATAACTCTGATAAATACATTTGAACAATACATATGACGAATACATATTATGACGAATACATCTGAATAATATTACGAATAATAAATCTCGACAATACATCTGAACAATACATTTGAAAATACATTTGAACAATACATCTGGAAATACATTTGAGTGATATGACGAATACATGTGAATTATGCATGTGAATAATAAATCTCGACAATACATCTGAAAAATACGTTGATGTATTACATGTGCGGGATACATCTGAATAATATAGATGAATAATAACTCTGAACAATACATCTGATAAGTTTGTACATCAGAATACTAAAATCGTCAGCCAACCAGGATCCACGCCGTTAAGGTCCTGGCTAGAATTGGTCTTCAGCAACCAATGCTTGTCGTAAGAGGCGACTATGACTGATCGGGGGGTCAGGCTCGCTGACTTGGTTGACACATGTCATAGTACCCCAGCTACGTAGATCGATGTTCCTGGTGTTGATCACTGGATTGTTTGGTCCAGACTCGATTAATTACTGACCGCCGCCATATACCTTGAAATCTGATTGAGGCGTTAAACAAACCAACAACCAGGTACAAAGACAATAACGACAGAGCGTTCAGCGTTTTCTTTGTCAAGAATCCCCGCACCCTGCTTCAGAAATTAATCCCAGGGTTCCAGGGTTCCAGCACTACTTCTTACCTTGGCAAACATCTTCACCCCGGATTATAGTGTCCGATGTATAAGATACTGGTTTAAAACACTGAAAATATATTAACAGCGTTTGCCGTAAAAGTCTTATTACATGTTGTTCAAACTGGACAATTTGGTTATGTAATATGGGCTTAAATATATGGCATCTGCTCTCTTCTTGTGGATTTGGAAATGTGTTGCTGTTCCAGGGTGTTAGAAATGAATGCCATTTTGTGTACGGATTTCGTCAAAGAGTTGTTGATATGTCTCGTCAGAATTGGATGAGGTGAGGTGAGGTGAAATTGGGTTTAACGCCGTACTTGAGAATATTTCGCTCATATGACGACGTGCATGCGCGTGTATGTGTATGTGCGGCTGCTTGTACTAGCCCAGACTGAAGCTGGTTTTATAGTGCTAGCCCACTGAGATACCATGCCGCAGTGAAGCATGAATACCCCACTCAGACACATTATACTGACTCCGAGCCGACCAGTCCTTGTTGTACCCATTAATGCCGAGCGCCAGGCAGGGACCAACAAGTTCCATATTTTAACGTCTTTTGGTATGATGCGGTCGGGGATCGAACCCGCGACCTTCCGCTCTCCGGGCGGACGCTCTAACCACTACACCACGGAGGCGGTCAGAATTGGATGAATGCCCGTAATTTAATATTTCAAGATCCGATGCATATAGATGCTTTAAACAGGGTCAGACATATATTTAGCAACCACTAGAAGCAAGAGACCTACAGTGACAAGATCTAGACTTGGTTAAACCAGTGTTTGCAATACTTTCATTTGTCAGTTGCGGCCATCAGGGCCTGCTGGCTTTAAAATCTACAGGCCCTGAATGAAATCTGCAGGCCCATTTTGTTAAAGTCAAACCAATCAAAACAAAATAGACTACACCACACACAGTTATACACTGTCTGATTCTGTCATTCTAACCAGTACTACACTGGAAATATGGAATGACATCAAATTCCTGTTGAAAAATAAATTGACAGATAATTTACTGAAGGCCACAAGGGCCTGCACATATTTGAAACTGATGGCCCGATACAATAACAACCGGGCCTCCGGGCCGGCGATTATTTCGAACGCTGGGTTAAACAGATACAATTATTGATATTGTCGGAAACAGTCACTTGCTAAACATTGAAGGTTTTGCCCTAGTTGTATGTCGGATATTGAAGATGACTGTCATTTGTTATTTCTATACGATGCATGTAACGGTTAAAGTAAAGAGTATACTTCACGGAAATGTTTGTGTAACCCGAATAGAGAAACACGTATCAGACTTTTATCAACGGTAGAATCTCTTACACTAGCCATATTCGAACACATTCATTGGCATTTCGAAAGAGTTTGATATCTGCCGGCAACTAATCACACAATGTTCTGACGTTTTTCACTATTTGCATTGCCCTTACTCTGCCTGTCATTGTGATACTATGTATGGACGAGGCCTTAGATACAATAAACTATCTTGTTCTTTATGTGTACATCCGAACACGACCAGGTCGCCATTACATCAGGGGTCACTTAACACATGCCGTCCGAGCTAGACGAATGTCGTTGAATCCAATTTCTCGTGATTTGACTCTTCTCCCCGTTGTCAAGTTAGGGTTTGTATTGATTCCACTTTTCACTTTCTGATGGACTAAAGGTATTTCATGATCTCTATCATCTAAACCATGGAAACATCATCATGGTTATTCTCGAGACTGAGTGAGGTTTATGCCGCTGTTAGCAATACTCCAGCAATATCATGCCGTGGGACAGCAGAAATGTATGGATTTCACACATTGTATCCATGTGGGGAATCGAACCCGGGTCTTCGGGGTGACGAGCCAACGCTTTAACCACTAGGCTATCCCACCGCCCTTATTCTCATGAGCATAACGACGTTGTTCATTTACTTCTCTTAACAACACATAGAAGTATTACAGGCATTCTGTCTCTCATGCTCGCGTCTGTGTGTCAAAGTTTTGGCTTCATATTGAAATACTCGGAACTGACGAAGACGGTCAAATTAACAGCAGTCGATTTTGTTTATTGAAAATCAAACGGTCCGCCCCTCAGTGAACATAAGGTGTTCTTTATCATTACAAAAGACACGATGTTCATTGACGGTTTCGTCTTAAATCAATTAAAAATAGCCTGTGGTATCATTTCACTACAAAGCAAATCGATTGTCTAATTTGCTACTATAGTTTGGCATGAAATGCATGTGGACCCGGTTTTTTGTAAATATCTCTTCATCCAATGATCCAATCGATCTGAAACTGTGCAAGTGGATGTTTTGTCAGACAACCTAATCACATTGTAAATCACCGATTTTATGCATTTGTATTACAGAAGAACACAGAAAGTATATTTACACTAAATCATTAATCGGACCACCTATGGTTAGAATTCAACAACTGTTAAAGCCCCGTTCCCTCGGACATGGTGCACAAACACACACAATCATGCACACTCATTGAAGAAAAGATAGAATGAAGACAAAAGTGTTATGTTTTGATATCGTTCACATTCTAAATTAAGCAATGCATTTCTAATAGCTTTAAGCATATAGATAGTTAATATTTATATTTTCATGATAATTTTAGGTGAAATGAGTGTTTCATGTTACACTATAAGTCGTTGGAATCAGTGCTGTCATTGTTAAAAGAAGTTATATTTCTTTGAGCATATCTGGCTGGATACTATTATTATCTGTAAATATAATAACAGAATTAAACTTCATCAAGTTCACTCCATTCTTCCACAGAGGAGTCATCAGTGTCCAGACGAATGACAACTGGATTAACTGTTTGCTCCTTCAAGCCATCTTTGAGCCAGTACTCTTTCTCCACCTTCTTGACATGTTCAACACATGCATGCCAGCGTGCAATGTCAATGTCACATATAGCAGTGTTGACAATGTGCTTGACATCATTCAACTTGAATGATTGATTTTTCCGGGTCACTGTACTTTTAAGGTCTCCCCAGATAAGTTCGATTGGGTTGAGATCACAGTGGTACGGTGGTAATCTCAAGACCTTATGGCCGTGTTGGCGTAGCATGTTGTCAATGTTATATGCGGGTGGAGGTTTGTTAGGTTTAATCAAAGAGTACAACTGTGGTTCAGTGGCCTTAATTGAAAATTGTATATTGTTATTTGTTAGCCATTGCTGCATATCTGACTTCTTTGTATTGGAAGTTGGGCACCAATTGTTTGGATCTCGAACACTGTGATAGGGAGCATTGTCCATGACAACAATACTTTTGTAAGGCAGAGCTGGCAACAATTGTTCCTCAACACACTGTGTGAAAACCGGTGAGTTCATTTCTGTATGATAGTCCCTACCATCTGTGCTCTTTGACCGAAATACCAGATCACACCCAGGTAGGAGTCCACGGTGGGAACCAGCATGAAGAACGATTAAACGTTCACCTTTGCCTGTTGGTATTTTCCTACCATCACTGGGATCATGCAGTGGGTAGCCACTGTCTGGCAGCAGTATGGTTTGCATTGACCCAGGTCTCATCCAGATATATGGGTTCGAACCCATCCTCTCTTGCCTGCTTAATTTCTCTGATAATTACACCTTATTTTCACAATATCAGATCCCTCACACATTACAAGTTTCTGGTTTGCTACCTTCTTGTACTTGTATCCAAATTTGAGCAGTAGTTTGCTTAGCATAAACCTAGAAACATTAATGTCGTGATCCTCTGCAAGGATGTGTTTTAACTTTCTTGTGGACAGGTGTTCATTTCTAGCAAATAGCCGGCGAATGATCGACATCTCTGATGACCCTGATGTCAAAGAATCTAACTGTGGATGCCTACCTTTTTGTACAAGGTTTTGTTTATTGGTTGTTGGTTTATTTTTCACAATTTTTAGCACGATGTTCTTTTTCATGCCAAGAGCAAAAGTTGTACGTTTCATGTAATCCGACACCTTATAAATCGGTTTGCTACGTTTGCTCTCTTTTTTAAAAAATTCAACACATTTCTAATTAAACGTTTAGCATCATCTGAATAAGCTTTCATGATGGCAG